GGCTTTCGATAAATTGAGTTTTGAAGACTACCATCTTCTAGGCGTTCCATGGCGATGTCGAGGAAGTGAAACTTTCCGTCACTTTCATGTTCCATAGTTAAGTCAATATTGGCGTGTGCCAATGTAAGCATGCCATGTTAGCAGCTGACGAATCAAGTTTGATGAAGGATTGAAACTAGGTTAGAGAACCATTAGTAAACCAGGAAGTACTAGACAGCTGTTTTATCCTAGTGTGTGGGCTTCACATTGTTCAAAGGTCGAACTCAGGACCCTCTGGTTACACAGACAACTCGTAGATCATCCCCACCCGGTCTGGCGTGAGGACAAATACTCGCCAAATATGACATACGCTGGTTGGTGGTCGTGCTAAAATCACGAATTGATAGAAGTTAGAATTCATGTGCTAATGTCCATTGAATCTGCTCGCAGTGTGGTTGAATGGTCTTCAAGTTGGCCTTGTAGTAACGGGAAGTTCCTGGGTGCGAATCCATGTGGTGGATGAACCCTGTTGATTAGTTTCAGGGTAGAACGAAACAGCTATCCAGTATTCTATACTGATTTTCAATGGTTCTCTAACTGACGTCATCAATCCGTGATCAAAATCCTGGAACAAATCACATATCTACAAACAAACTTTTGAAAAACTTTTAGTGCCTTATACCGACACATTAATACTGTGGCAGTCTGATACAAAAAATGTTTTCCAACAGAATATCATTCTCACAGTAAGAATCATTGTCTTTGTTGATGTTAGCCCCTGAATACTATTCTCACAGTTCAATACTGCATTCTGTCTCTCTGTTTTCGACATACAACTTTGCACAAATGTGCGGGAGTTCAAGTCGCCACACTCCCTCCTTGTAGAACACAAAGCAAGAGAAGAAAGTATAAGAAAGGCATATTAGAGACAGTAAACACAGGTGTGAGACAAAGGAATAATAGTAACGAAGAACGAAACAGTTTCATTGGAAATCACAAGTCACAAGGAGTGGATGCATCTGCGCCAGCAGGCCGTTGAGAACGATGAGTTTGAGCCATGTCACCAATTGTTTCTAACCATTGGTTTTTACCGTCACGAGGACCCCAGCCTGGAAGTCTACACCTTCCTACGTGACTTAAACTCACTTTCGTAGATTTCATTGACTGGTGCCGGCATGTTTTGGTTTGACCGCGACTAGCTTTTTTCCAGCCTGACCCTATATCCGCTAACATAGCTCGTCGAGGGAGGCGATGGCTTGGCATACGTAACACATGTCCTAACCATCTCAGTCTTTGTAGCTTCACGACTTCGTCGATTGATTTCCCCTGTTTACCTAGAACTCTCCGCCTAACCTCAATATTGCTCACCTCATTATATCACTTCACACGGGAGGTACAACGCAGGCACCTATGATCAAAGACAGCTAGTCTTTTCATGTCTTCCACTCTCAGTGACCAGGTCTCACAACCATAAAGGAGGACAGAGCGGATTGATGAGCAGTACACCCGCCCTTTTGTTGACAGTCGGATATCACATCTACGCCAGAGACGGCGTAAACTGGCAAATACGAAACTAGCCTTCTGTATCTGTGCAGAGATTTCGTCAGAGATCAACCCGTTGGCACTGGCTGATGGTACTTCCCAAATAAGTGAAGCGGTCAACACGCCCTACTACTTCACTTCCTGTTTCTAATCTAGGAGTCGGTATAGTCCAGTCCTGTAACATCATCTTGCATTTGGCGGGAGCGAATCACATGCCAAACATTCGTAGATTGCAGCTCAAGGTGTTTAGAAGACTCTGCTGCATTTTGTCAGCGTCCTCGCCTAGAAGGACTATATCGTCTGCATATTCTAAGTCAATGAGAGTATTCCCTGGTATCAATTCAATCCCTAAGTCGCTGAAGTGAGTTAGGGTTAAGTCTATTAGTACTGGATTAGCAGTAGAATCTTATATATGTATTCGAACATTCTACTTCATATCGTTTAATGTAAGCCGAAATCATACGCTCAGTGATGATTGATTAAAGAATATAAAACTGTATCTATATAAATAGCTGTTTGATAACTTGAAAATATACCTTGGCTTCCGTGTCTTGCCTTCTGCGGTTACAATACGGCTGTGTAGCTTGACAATGAAGTTGTTGAAAGGAAATACGATAGAAATAAGACTCATGTCTATCACTGATAAGATTCTGTTTTACATTAGAAGAATAGGTTTCAGCACTTCAAACTTAGTTGCCAGCCAGTTAGTTCAATCTTATCAGTACCCTGATTCAAAACAAGCATATTGAGAATGAAACATCTGGCTCACTGAAATGTCTTAATGTTCAGTGTATAAGGTATTAAGGCATGCACTATTATCACCGATTGTATATACAATAATAACCTGCTTTTATACTGCATGAAGTAGTGTATATGCAAAGGCGTGGATAACAGACTCATTACGATCAGATTAATAAGAAGACAATTGCAGCGAAGAAAATTTTCTTCTCGACGAAGTCATCATCTAGGCTGTACATTCGTGTATTTATATCAGATGGATAGGAAAGTTCCAGAATAATATCCGGTCAAGGGTCAAATTAATAAAAATTAAAATTAGGAATTAGAATGCCATAATAAACAGGGTGGGGGACGGATAGAGCTCAAACAAAGTAGCATCATAATTACTGAGAAGATTGACATTGTGCAATTAGGGGTTAGAAATGTAGAAATAACAAAATAGACAGGATGTTTGGATAAAAACTAATGTGATGAATAATTGTTTATGCAATCAGGGATTAAATATGTAGAAATAGTAAAATGACAAAATAAACACGAAGTTCGGGTATGAAAATATGGTAGTGTAAACAGGGATTAAGAAAAACTTAAAATAACATGAATAAACAGGAAGTTTAGGTAAGAAAGGCGATGGGATGGTCATTACTAAAAAATTACCTGTTTATGATGGCCATGGCAGGGACAGGGGTTGGACGTATTTCTTTTGTATACAAAGCGTGGGTTTGAGCTTTTGTATAGCTAGCGCCTCGGCTATGCCCAGATGCCTTAATTTTACTCCCTTTGATAGGTTTGATCGAATCTTGTACATGATTTTGAAGGATTTTTCGAGTGGCGCTGAATGTTCTGAATTAACCAGATGTTCTGTCACCGAACTATTTACCTGTTTTCGTTCTCCTTTTACTAGCCAGGCTGGATAGTGTTCACGAGTGCGTTTTTCAAGTCGGCGCTGCAAATGTCTTCTTATTAACTCCTATGACCCAGTGTGTATATTACGATCAGATTAATTGAGAACAAATTGCAGATGTTTTATTCTATTTTTTTTTGGGGGGGGGGGTTTAAAGCCGACTGACACAGACACATATATTCAGGAGTGTTTCAAATAGATCAGTGATTAAGAATCATGGTTAGAAATGTTCCCGAGAGTAACTGTCGCATTATTGAAGTCTATTCTTATGACTGCTGAAACACAGATGAAGGGAACGACAACCAAAGTGTGTCATCAGTCGCATTCACCTAAGTAGATATGTAAGGCTAACACAACACAATGCAGAAAACCAACTGTATGCAGTAAATTACAGATTTTTTGACGAATACAAACAAACCTTTTGAATGTCATCCGTTTAACTGAAACTAACTCAATTTCTTAGTAGGATTTGTGGAGCTACTACTTACAATATCGATGACATTCAGAAAACTGCTATTCTTATGGATCCAAAGTAAGGATTTAAAAGACGAAAAATGTAACTAAAAGAGACGCGACCATTAAAAAAAAACATTTCATAATAACTTTTCAAATATATGAAATACTTCAGTTAGAAAACCACTGAAGACCAGTAGGTTATTGACAGCTGTTTCCTCCTCGTGTGGAGTTCTTCCGAGGCATGTGCCGGTGACATCATTAGGGATCATGCCCAAGACCTTCAGGTTAAGAGACGTCACTGATCACTCAGTCAATAGAACTAAATCCAGTGTGGTGAAACTTGAAGTCAGCCGAATCCCCGTAGGCCAACATTTGGAAATTAATCTAGTGCTCACTAGACAGTGATTAGAGTATGAAGTTTCCTGAAGTTCTAGTGAGAAGTCGTGACCAGTGTGATCCACCTGGTTGCGGTGTAAGCATAAATACTCACGGCTGACATTAATTGGAGCCAGCAATCGTTCGATGGGCCATAGGATCTCGTCCCAGTATCTGAATGTCCAACAAGCTCTCCTTGAAACTTGAAGAATCTGGATTCAGTTCCTGTTGCTGCTATAGGTGCTACTACTACTGGAGCGTTTTAACATAAGTACGAGACAGCTGTCTAGTATTCCGTAGTTATCAGTGAGGCAGTAACTGAAGTCACTTCGTGCGTCAGTGGCACAGTGGTTAGGACTCTCGCCGACCATGCACATGGTCCGAGTTTCGATCCCCTGCCGACGCACACCTGATATCTATGGTCGGCCTGCAAAATTTGGGCCATCGATATCCACGCTGAAAATTCCATACTTGTACCAAAAATACAGTGTGGAATCAAGCTGTAATCAAAAATAAAAAAATAAAAATAAATAAGCCTGAAAGTAATCAAGTCCCTGTAAATTAATCAATAGACAAGGAGAATGACTAAAACCATATGATTGGAATGCTTCAACTTAGTAGTATTCCGGGCCGTCTGCTAACAAAAATTGTGCCATGAAATCTAAACACCTCTTATTAGTCTTGTGTAAGAAAAAAAACTGGAAACTTTAGGCCTGAAAAAATCTGCAGGCATATATTAAACATTCGGTTGGTTCATAATAACCAGCCCCTAGAGAACAGAAATTCACAGATAATTTTAGAAAAGTGAAGATGACGTTGGAAGTGATATCTCCAAGAAGGCTTCATCTAAGAGCAATGAAATATTCAAACCATCCTCTTATGAACAGACGTTTGAAATGATAAGTGTGGATAGTTCATCAGCTACGCAAAAGAGAAATAAAAAAAATGCTTAGAGCTTTAAGAAGTATAAATGAAAAAGCCGAAAACGTATATATCAGAATTAAATTACCTATGGAATAAAGCAACCATTTGTGGTAAATCTGTAACTTGTATTCGTTTAGCAGCGACAGCACCAATCAACGAACCACCAGCTAAGCAAGCTGCCATTTGAGTCAATAATTCTGGATTTGGGTGAATTAATCCTAGAGTGGTCATTAATCCACTTGTAACACCAATCACACCTATCGCATTACCTGAGGTGAAGAAAATAACAAAAAGCGTCAATGACACACAACATGAAAGCTTCGAAAATAAACCATCCAACTGAAAAGACACAACTGCATCAAAATACACAACATACAATTTGCGTTAGAATAATACAGGGATTATAGAACGAAGTTCTCAAGAGTTGTTTGTGGGGATTTGATCTGTTTCAAGATTTTGATCACGGATTGATATAAGTTAGAGTAGTGACCAGTGGAAACCAGGGAGTATTAGACAGCTTGTTTTTCCTAGTTTGGGATGAACAGTCTTGGGACGTCCTAGTTCAGCAGTACACACCCGTCTCCAGGGCTCGAACCCAAGACCTTCATGTTACAAGGCGAGCTCATAGACCATTCGACCAGTGGGATTCGATTTAATGGCCAGCAGATGAATTCTAACTTTTACCAATTCGTGATTTTCACACGACCAACAACCAGCGTCATCGTTGGCGAGTATTTGTCCTTACTTCCCATCAGGTGGACCCACTGGTCACGACTTATTGCTAGAACTCGAGAGAACTTCGCCCTGCAGCCAGTCAGTAGCGAGCATCAGATTAGTTTTCAAGACATTGGATGGTGGTTGCGCTAAAATCACGAATTGACAGAAGTCAGGACTCATAGGTCATTGAGCCGGGGGTCTCACTGGCTAAATGGTGACAATTACCTTAAACTCGATATGGTTTACAAGAGGCTTAGAAACAAAATTACACAGGATTAGAATGAATTACAAGTGCGTAAAATAATGAAATGAGCATGGGAACAAACCTTTTATTCACCTTTGTAATTATGTGGAATCAAGCAAAAATTCTATCTGTGTCAAATCTGTTTCTGAAAATGAAATCGGTGAAAACATATCTTTTCTGAACTTCGTTTTTTCTTCTTTCTAATGTATTAATGTGTGTTTTCCACGATCAGAAATACTGAGTAGCGCATACTTCGTTTGACCGGGATAGCACATCTACTCCAGAAAGATGACGTGCTGAGATTTAGTCAGTCAATTGTCGATTAGGGTTGATAAGGAATTCTCAAATAAATGCAGTAGTTAGCACACTCAACCGCCGCACTTCTTTATCTTTTAACTACCTCATCTTACATCAGACAGAGTCAAACAGCTCGTCAAACATTCTCAGATGTTTAGAAGACTACACTGTCAGAGTCTTCACGAAGGATGACAATATCATCCGCATACTCTGAACTGATGACATTGTTGAAATAATAGAGAAGACTTGTAGGTCAGGTGGATGATTTGTAATTAATAGTATTCTCTGAGCTGGTTGGTTTAGTTGCGGAAACATCTTCAACGCAAAATTTAGCATAAAATTATCAATACAAATGTGAATCGACTACCAGTCATGAGGATAGTTACCAAGAGAGACACAATTCTATCATTCATGGGCAATTTAAATCAGTTCATTTTATGCTAAAACTTGAGTTGAAGATGTTGGCCAGAAGGAGGACGACGAAAGCTTCGCAATTAAACCAACCAGCTCAGAGAACACAACTAATTGATGAAATTGCTACCTGATAACAAGTCAGTCCCTAAGTTTCCAAAATCGATTGGAGTGAATTCCATTGAAAAGAAAACACGTAGATCAACGAAGAGTCTCTTTTCGCCGGCGGCGAATTCATTTTCTTAGCTGTACAATCGCAAATATATATACATGTGTTATTTTGTATATATATATATATGTACATTAAGTTTGCCAAACAAAAATAGACAATTGGTTATGGTTATTTTAACAAAATAGGTGAAGATTGGCAATACAAGTCAAGAAAATTAGGTGTTAATGAAATTAGGGTAGTAACAAAGGTGATGACGGAACTGACGAGGATATCAAAGCCAGAATCGGAAAAGCAAGACAAGCTTCCATTACTCTCAAATCTGTGTGGAGGTCAACAGCACTCACCATCAAAAATAAGATCCGGAATTTCAACTCCAATGTGAAGTCAGTCAGTGCTGCTATACGGATCAGAGACTTGTTGAGTCATAAAGAGCATCTCAAACAAACTTCAGACCTTCATCAACAGCTTCCTTCGCTGAATACTACTCAAGATCAGATGGCCAGCCAGGAAAGATCCGCAACAGGGATCTCTGGCAGTGAACCAATCAGGAACCTATTGTACAACAAATAGGCAGGAAGAAATGGAAATGGATTGGCCATACTCTGAGGAAACCATCAAGTGACATCACTAGACAAGCCATCACTCGAGTGGAACCCGAAAGGGAGGCGGCGAGTCGGTCGTCAGTGTGAGGGTGACTTGGAGGAGGTCATGCGAGGAGGAGATGAAAGCATGTGGACAGACCTGGAGCGGGGTAAAAAAGTTGTCAGAAAACCGAAGGCAATGGAGGTACGCAGCTGAAGCCCTATGTTCCTCTAGGAACTAAAGGATACAATAATAATAATAATAAAGGTGATGAGTTGTCACAAACAGTTGTTAAAAAAGAAGTTATGTGATAATAGTATGAATAGTTTGAGGAGTGAGTTTTACTCAGGATGCACATAGAATCAAAGTAGTTGATACGAAATTATCTAAGATTTCTAAATAAATAAAAGGTGTATAAGCAGTCAAAGAAACAAAATTAAGTCATCAAAATAGAAAACTCAAATCAAATCAAAAGAAAAAAAAGTTGTTATCATGACAGTAGAAGTAGTTGAGTATTCTTCTTTTGTATGCACAGCTCCGGTTTTTCTATGTGAATGGCCAGAGCTTCAGTGATACAAAGGAGACGAAACCGTATTGCCTTTGATAGGTTATTCTTGACTATGTAGATTACTTTGAAGCAGAAGGCGTTTGTTGTAATGGAATGATCAGTGTTGACCAGGTGTTCAATTATTGTACTCCTTATTGCACCACTATTGCCTTTTCACAACCTTGCTAGATAGTGTTCTTGAATCCTGTTGGACAAAATGCGTGTCAAACGACCGATGTACCTGGCCGGCTCCACAGCAGCAGGTGAACTAATATATGCACATAGAAGTGGTCAGATGCGGGATCTTGTCCTTGAGGCCTCTGCAGGTCAGTGTGCGACTGGAGAACACTGTTCTTAGTGTTGCTGCAAAGAATGTTCTTCTCAGAAATGATGTCATTCTTCTGTTGAGAATATCGCTTGCTAAATCTCCCTTGAAATCCAAGTTCATGTAGAGTTTCTTTTTAGGCGCAATTAAAGTTTCGTTTCTCCGAATTATTGGGTTGATATTTTTGTCGATGAATCTTATTGGGTATCCATTTTGGATGAAGATTTCTCTTAGAATATCTAATTCTGAAATGCCTGGATGGGGATTATCCATGAGTTGAATTCCATTGGTAAGATCTTTCGACAGATGATCTTAAACGATCAGAAAACTAAGGATAGTTATGCTAAAGTTTAAAATAATCTGAAAGATAACTATGCAAACACACACACATACAATAATTTATCAAAAAATCGACGTACCAACACGGCAAAGTTTTTGACTTGATAAAGCAGTCAACGCTCCAATACAACACAGTGAAGAAGCCAAATAGGTAGTTTCATGCATATCATCCAGTATCGCTGAAGGCATAGTGAGTGCAGCATATCCATAGCTGCCAAGGAGGGCAACAGCAGGAATACTGAATAAATAATTATATTCAGCTGGATCAGTAGGACGTTTAAACATGTCAAGCATTCTTTGAGTAACGACAAAACCACCGCCAATATTGATAGCTGACAGAAGAGTTGCTGATGCTGCTAATCCTTCAGGTATCGTCGATGGATATAAACCACCACCCATAAGAAGTAGACCGCCGACAGCTGTAATTCCAGATACAGCATTTGTCACAGACATCAATGGGGAATGAAGAGCTGGAGTGACACCCCAAACGGTATGATAACCTGTGATTAAGAAGAATAAAAACATCTCATACATTTGGTCCCTTTGATAAATTTCGATAGAGAGAAAGAAAGACCAGGTTCTTATCAGCTAACTACAAACTACCTGAAATTACAATGGTTATAAATAGAAGCATTTCATACTTGATTGTTTGAAAAGTAATAGGGGAAACATTATAAGGTGAACGCATCTGGAATATAAGTATTATAATTTATAGTTTAAGTTACCATCAACTTATATGCTATCAAACTATGAAAAAGGTAAAAGGGGGGGTGAGAGAAGACAGAACACAGAAAAAATCTAATAAACAATGTCAACATGGCAACTCACGAAGGCCAAAGTTCATCAATTTGGAAACTTGCTTAGTGAGTTGAGCTCACTAGTGTGTATGACTAATCAGTGTAATAAAAGTGATATGGTTACCAAGGGAGTGAGAGATTGACCACACTCTCTTTCTGTATGCATAAGTTTGGTCTGTGACGTTTGATTGCAATTGCTTCAGCAGTAAATTGTAGTAGATTAGCTGTCCTTCGTATGTTTAATATTTTGAAGGATTTTGAAATCTCGACAAAATGACCGGTATCCACATGGTGGGTGTCTGGTAATTGCACTTTGTAAATATCTCTTTCCTGTTTAAGCATAAGTTTCTCAGAACATACTCTGAGAACGGGATGGAAGCCTTTCTTTCTGTCCTTCCAATGCACTAGCTTCCGCAGGTACACGTAAATTTATAAATGCATTTGGAGGTAACATCAGCAGGGTACTTATCCAGTTTTGATTGCTTTATAGAGCATGTAGTACTGTATAGTGTCACCAGATTGGCTTCAGGGAAGAATCTCTTTATTGCTCCTTTCACTCTCCTGTCAATCTTTTGCGACACGGTTTCTCCTTTGTATGGGAGGCAAATGAACACTTTCTTCTTCTCAACTGTTGGAGATTTCTCTTTCTCATCCCTTTCTTTGCTGTACATTAGGATAAATTCTTTTGGATACCCGTTTTCCTTAAGGCATTTTTCAACAAAGCTTAATTCTTCTTCTACCTTGTTAGACGAACATAACTTACTGGCCCTGTCGTATAGTGAGTGTCCTTACTAATCTCCGCTTATAGCTTGTAGAGCAGAAGCTGTTGTAGTGAAGGCATTGTCCGGTTCAAGTTTCTTTTCTGTAGATGTACTTTTCGACCGTTCCATCGTCTCTTCTTTTTTACATTTAGGTCCAGGAAATTGAACTCGTTGTTGTGTTCGTATTCCATGGTGAACTTTATGTTTGGGTGAACCTCATTTCGACGGTCACTTTATTTTATATCATTTTATACTGCAAATCTGGTCTTCCCTTCTCTATCGAAATAAAAACATTATATCATCATTGAACTTTTCAAAAAATCACAGCATGTAAAAATGTGTCAAAAATTTTTATTCGGCCAAAATTAGTTATATGAAATGATATTTAAAACTCCAGAAGATTCATAACAACGTTGAATAACAAGAAAAAGACGATATAAACAGCGAAGAAAATTTTCTTTTCGACGACTCATTTTCACAGAAGCTGCTGTACAATAACCGTAGTTATATTTAACAAAGAATTCATAAGACGACTACTCAGATTCTGGTAAAGTTTGTCCTCGAAAAATGTATTACGTAATGTAAGGTGCAGTCTAGAAGGGGTGACAAATTGGAAATCAGATCAAGGGGGCAGAAGTTGGCACGCCGTAATAAGTGTGAGAAAATGACTAATCAATAAGATTGTGTAGAATGGACAGGAACTATTGGAAAGACGTTAAAATGTTTTTATAAAATCTTTACGAAAACGCAATGTTATTAATAAACAGTAATAAAGTGGTAATAAAATATGGATGATGAGAATAATAATTATTATTATTGCTCCCTTGGGTTCCTAGTGGAACACAGGGCTTCAACTGCACGTCTCCATTTTCTTCTGTCTTCTGCTGTACTTTTCGCCTGCATCCATGTTAATCCATATTCTTTCAACTCCTCTTCACACGATCTCCTCCATGTCACCCTTGGACGTCCCACACGCCGCTTCCCTTTCGGGTTCCACTCGAGGGCATGGCGCGCGATGTCACCCAGCGGTCTCCTCAGCGAGTGTCCGATCCATCTCCACTTTCTCCTGCATATTTGTTGGTTGGCGATTGGTTCTTGTTTTGTTTGTTTGTTCCCATAATTCCTTGTTGGTGATTCTTTCCGGCCATTTGATCTTCAGTACTGAGCGAAGACAGTTGTTAATAAAGGTCTGCAGCCTTTTGGAAATATTCTTTGTGACCCGCCAAGTTTCTGATCCGTATAGAAGACCTGACTTTACGTTTGTATTGTAACCTCGCCAGATACTAGCTTGCTAGGCTACTAGCTTACTAGTTTTCTCGCCGGTCCCAAGCCCGGGTAAAGAGGGAGGGTTGGGGCGTGGTGCTAGCAACTCCACCCCTGTAAAACAACCAAATCGCTACAGAAACTTCAACGATGAGAATAATAATGACAATAAAATAATAGTAGTAATAACAATAATAGTAGTGAACCTACATAATAAAAGAAGAAGCAAAATTATAGTAAGAACTTTGCTCTGGCCACGGTAGAGCGAGTGAATGTATGTAGTACTTTTGAATGTAGCGATCCCATTTCAGATCTCGAATAGCCAATTATTCGGCTATTTTATAGATGGCGTATTCGAAGCACTGTGAAGCAACCATGCAAGTTGGGGTGCTCTATGTCCAGAGTTGACAAGGTGTTCGAGGATACAGCTGCTACTATTCTTCTTTTCTCCTCTGGCTAACCAAGCTGGACAATGTTCCAGAATACGTTTGCAGACTTGACGCTGTCTACAGCCGATATACTTTGCTCCACACGACCAAATACATTGATAAATACACACTGAGGTGACCAAATGCGGTATATCGCCCCTAACTTTAGACTGGATTAACTGTCTGCTGGAGTATGTAAGGAAAGCCTCCGCCACCAAACATTGTAACTGTTCCTAAGAAAACTCTCTTCATGAACCTGGAATTCACAGGTGACATAGAAGTAGAAATTCCTAGAAATCGCCTTTCTAAATGTATGAAGAAGAGATTTCAAGCAGCTACCTTACGTATCGTATAATCTAGCAGACAGTTAATCCAGTCTAACGGCAAGGACAAGATACCGCTTTAGGACACCTCAGTGTGTGTTTACTTGCTCGTGTGGAGCAAAGTATATCGGCTGTAGACAGCGTCAAGTCTGTAAACGTATTCTGGAACATTGTCCAGCTTGGTTAGCCAGAGGAGAAAAGAAGAATAGTGGCAGCTCCATCCTCGAACACACACATCTCCGGTCATAGAGTACCCCAACTTGTATGAATGCTTCACAGCGCTAATCAATAGGGCTTAATTCGCCATTCCTATCTACAGTACTACAGCAAATTAAATTGAATAACACCCGAACAAGACTACAACTATTAAATCTATTGTGAACATGCTGCTTCTTGGCAAAGAGACACACTGAGGTCAAACAAGTTTATGCGAGAGTGAATGTCTCATTCAGTTTTATTCACAGACAATTTTACTGAATACATCTGAGCACTTACCTACAATACCTGAAAGACCAAATGTTGTTAGCATTGTAGTAAACGCTGGTGATGGGGAATACAATCCCACTCCAACTAAACCTGTCAAACCAACCGAAGTAGAGATGACAGAACGTAGTTTTCTTCTTAAAATTACTGATGAATCGCTTGGTTGTGGTGTAACACTCTCTGCTGCTTTAACTGACTGTTGTTCACGTTTCACAGGTGCTGGTTGTGGTCGAGCAGGCGGTGGCCACATAAGTTTTCCCTTGATTATGAACAGCAAACAAACAGTAAATTTAGTAGTATATGATAATTAAAAATAATACCATGAATACATGTATATACTTAAGAGAATGTGTTTAGATTAAAAAGTCTGACCACGGGGTCCTAGTAGCCGCATGGTCTATGATCTTGCCTTATAACATGAGGTTCCGGGGTTCGAACTTCGGTAGGTATGTACCACCGATAGGTCCCAGTTCTCCCTGGTTCTGTGTGCGTCGGTGGAGCAAGGGTAGAATGGTAGCCAACAATGCACGTGGTCCAGGGTTCGATCTCCGGCTGACGCACTCCTAAATCTCGTTTATCCGGTTATAAGTCCAGCAAAGAGGGCGTGAGACTAGTAACCCCACCCCCCGTAAAAAAATGCCACTGCTGCTGAAACTTTAATACTCGAGACTGAAGTTCTGTGTTCCACTGGGAACGCAAAGAAATAAAATCAATCAATAATAATGGGTCTGATTACAAGCTGATATCAGTTAAAGCACCACTGGAAAACAAGGGAGCTGTGTTTATCCTGGTTTGGGACGCTTTGACAGCATGTACACAGCCACTGAGTTTGGAACACAGAACATTGCGATCACAAAGCAAGCTCGTGCACCATTTAGCTGCTAGGTCCCAATGCAATGACCTAAGAATTTTTAAATTCTACTAATTCGCGATATATATATAATTATAGCCCACCTGTTAGTCAATATTATGGGCGAGTAACTATCTTCTCATCTGACTTCATAGATACCGTTGGTCATAACTTCTAACTAGAGGAGTTATTTTCCTCAGTATATAGGTAGTTGTGCCTTCTAGGATTATGATTTCATCTTAATTGCCAGTTATAGTGATGACACAATTTAGAAAAAAAACTAATGGTTTATTGATATAAGGACAAAACTTAGAGACTGTGGGAGAAGAGTATAACTCCACCACAGATAAGATTTTATTTTGATAAATCACACCGTGTTATGCAGCAATATTAGCTGATGACCACAATTCGAGAACAATTCATTCTCTGTCTGTCTGTTTTCGACATAGAACTTTGCACAAATGTGCGGAAGTTCAAGTCGCCACACTCCCTCCGTGTAGCACGCGAAGCAAGAGAAGAAAGTACAGGAAAAGCATAATAGAGACAGTAAGCAGAGATGTGAAACAAAGGAGGAGTAATAAAAAGAACAAAACAGTTTCATTGGAAATCATAATTCACAAGGAGTGGATGCATATCTGCGTTAGACACTGAGAACGATTTTGAGCACAATTCATTACCGTTCATAATCATATCAAGGCATTAATCACACAATTTTCTTGCTTCATTTATATACATTACTATATCTAAGATGCAATGGGGAATGTGAGCATCCCTGATAGATACCATTGGTTATCACTACTTCAGATGACAACTTTCTATAAGCTCTTACGCACACACACACACACACTTGTGTGAGTTTGAGTAGAGTGTAGTGTTTTCATATATTTTCTTCATAACTCAATGAGTATATATCAAGATAGCATATATTGGTCATTATTATTATTATTGATCTAATTAACGAATTGGTCCTTCTAGGATGGAGGCCCTGGAGTGGTTGCGCCACAGGATGATCCTGCATGCCGGTCTCGTCTCACAAGAGGCAGGGATGGGTGTGTTTTGGTTCTCCTGAAAATCAATACCCAGTCAATGGATGTATCACTGTGTGAAAGGTGCGTTGGCGACACAGCGGTTAGGACGCTTGCCGACCATGCACATGGTCCGAAGTTCGATCCCCAGTCGATGAACTCCTTTACCTCGCCAAACCAGAAATAATGCTGGTAAAGAGGAAAAGTTGGGCATGAGGCTAGCAACCCCATCCTGTAAAAATAGACACTGCTACAGAAACTTCAAGCCACTAGCTTGAAGCCCTATGTTCCACTGGGAATGTGAAGGAAAAATTATTATTTATTATTTTTATATACATGAGTAAAAATTCATGATTAGACATTTGAATAAAATCAATATAAGATAAAGTACATTCAGAAACAATAATATTAGTGTCATCAATCAAATACAAAAGGATGGGAAATAAGATGTTTTTTACGGTCAAAATAAGCAACTTGTTAGAATGTTATAATGTATGTGAATTGAAATAGCATTTTAAGATTTATTTATTATCCTCCTCTGATTTGACTCGTGGTAATAATATCTTCCATATCTCTGGCATTTGTATTGAGTCAATCCTATTGTACTGTGTGTTGGGTGTAGGTAGATTCGATGAACAAGGATTCAGTAATCCAACATCTCTCTCTCTACCTACCTAAATCACATTTTAGAATTTTGACTGTGCCCCACACACCCTATTATGTGGTTGTGTGTGCTAATGCATGCAGTGCAACTGTTGAGTTTGTTTTTTTCTAAATTACTTATCTTCGCGGGTGGGATCAATCATTCTGTACTTAGCTAAATTCTTATGTTCTGATAATTGCACTACTCCTGATCTACTAATTTGACCTATGTATTTGACTTCGCTTACATTCATTGAAAGGTATTTTGTAAATAATATTATTTTGTTTAATTGGGTCTTTACTTTCTCAGTTTGTAAATTCTTGTATTCTACCCATCCTCCTTTACTGCTCCCCATTAGTCTTTCCTGGACAACTTAAGAAAGACTTTGCTTCGCTGAGAAGGGCACTAAAAGCTGTTAGTAGGGCAAGTGGGATATCGTTAAACCAAACTGGTGAACACTATTGTAGATCGACATATTATGTCATGTAAGAAACTAGCGAATACAATATTGTCGGTCCCCGAGCATCCTCTCTATACGCATCTATCTCCTTGCATTTCATCTGGAAGAACTAGAAGCAGCTATAGGAGGCTATATGCTAGGACTACCAAATACAAAAACTCCACAACACCATATCTGGCACAGCTGTTATGTGATGAGAAATCCGTTAGGTATGACGATAAACTTACTGCAGCACTCTAACAAATAGTCTCATTAGGTTTTCTTTTCCTTTCCTTTTTACTACTACACTGTTGTTCTCATCTACTACCACACATCAACTTTATATTTCAAATCCTGTGGTGCATTGTTTGAAATGAAATACTCTACGCTGTTTTTTTCTTAATTTTTAATATTTATTTATAACTTATTTATTTTATTTTTTATTTATTTATCTCTGATTTTTAAAAATCTTATATAATTTATGAGGTAATTAGATGCAATATACTGTAATGCATGCTGAAAATTCCATACCTGTACCACAAATACTGTTTGGAATAAAGCTGTTATTATTATTATTATTATTATTATAACCTACAGGGTCTTTCAGCATACAGAGATTGTCCCACCTTAGTGAGTTTGTAGGTTTGAATGCCATCCTAATTCCTGCTGAATGTACCTTAAATTGATGTTTATTCAAATGTCTAATCATCAATTTTTACTCATATATATAAATGAAGCAAGAAAGTTGTGTGATTAGTGTCTCGATATGATTATAAGCATTAGATTTGTTCCTTGAAACGTGGTCATCAGTAAATATTGCTGCACAACACTGTGTGATTAATCAAAATAAAATCTTATCCATAACGCAGAAACTAATGGTTTAATTTTCGTAAACATTTTAACCTGCTAACAGAAGTGATGACAGGTAGATTCAATTTTTCGACTACATTTGCTTTCCTGATACTTGCCTAAATTTGAGATTCAGGTGGATGTTCTGGCTATGCTGATTCGACACTAGGAGCCAGTGTGATGTGTCTGGTCATTCCTTTGATGCAGACTGATTTCTATCAGTCAGTCATGTTTGCAATGTGGCCACCATTCTAGGTAGCTCGACATCACGGTGCACACATTGATTTGATGATATATTAGATAGTTGGAGGCAATCGGCCACAGGAAGCCTTGCCTGTCCTAGTTCTCATGCTAGTTGGCACTCATTGGTCAGCAAGGCATATCTACAACCCTGAAAGAACTCATGTCCCTTCTGAGATTCGAACCCGCATCACCAGGAAGTGCTGCAGTCAGAGACGTTACCACTGAGGTGTTGGGGCTGGCGATTAACCTCTTGTAGGACTGTAGTGGGTATTTTGATTGGACACTAGTAACTGGGGTGATGTGTCTGGCTAGTCCTTTCTTTGGTGCAAACTGAATTCTATCAATCAGTCAGGTTTTGCAACGTGGCCACCATTCTAGGTAATGTGACATGGATTCGAATCGCAGAAGGGACATGAGTTCCTTCAGGGTCGGAGATACACCTTGCTGACCAATGAGTGCCAACTAGCATGAGACCTAGGTCAGGCCAGGCTTCCTGTGGCCGATTGCCTGCAACTATCTCATATATATATATAACAAAAGGGTAAGGAAATTCATTTATATATAATAAATGATTAGACTTACATTATGTAGTACAATACTATCACGGATAACATCATCTTCTAAGTTTATATAAAATCGATCTTTTGCATCTAAAGTACAAAGACAATACATTACTCAACATTATTTAAAAGTAATTTATGCAACCATAAAACACCATCACATAATTCATTCACTGACATAGATTAGTTGCAGTTGTGCATCGGTGGCATAGAGGTAGAATACTCACACCGACCACGCCCCATGTGGTTCCGCTTTGGATCCCCGGCCACAGACGCACTTCTTTACCTTGATAAGCCAGTAATAAGACTGGTAAAGAGGGAAGGTTGGGCAAGAGGCTGGCTAGCAAACCCATTCCATTAAAATAAATACAACTTCTATTGGAACTTCAAGGCTCTAGCTTGAAGGCAACTTATGTTCCACTGGGAACGTAAAGGAATAAAAAATTTTTTTAAAGTTGTAGAACATTAAAATTTCAAAGTTTTTTGGAAGACTAATTCTATTAACTAATGTGTCTTTAGTGGAAACCATCGACTACATCTGCGAAAAGACCACTGAAAGGAAAATATGCACTGATATTCCTATCAGTAATCTGAAACAATTACTTTTTAAATGTACAACAAATGCCCAATTCTTGTTTAATAAAGAAGTGTACGGAAAGGTTGATGGTATGCCCACGGGATCCCCACTAGGACCTATTTTTGAGAATATATTTCTAGTAAAACTATAAAATATTCCGTCGAAAGATGAAATAGCAAAAATGGACATGTACTATCGTTACACGAATGACAGTTTTGTAGTGTACGATGAAGGGTTACGTAGTGATTTGATTTTCAGCGGTTTCAATAATGCTCACCCAGCAGTCAATTTCACCTACGTTAGAGAATATAACACCTCTTTACGCTTTCTCGATGTCCTACTAACGAGAAGAGACGATGGTTCCATCAAAAGAACCATATTTAAAAAGTTAGAGATAAAAACTGAGTACACACACCTCCTCAGCTCCGCACCTATGAAATGAATTTAATCTGATCAGGTGCTTAGCATTTACAGTGACGTCCAGTTTGTTCTGAAGACTGTGTAGAAAAAGAAATCCAGGTCGTCCGGGACATTCTAAGCGAGAACCGATATCCACAAAAGTTCATTGAAGCTAGCACAGGTTACAGTAGTCGCAAACACGAACTGACGATGGTGGAGAAAAAGCCTTTAGTTTCAGGGGAGATACTCCTGCGCATATTCTATCGTAATGTTTAACCAGGGTGAGAAAGGAAACTTCATACTCTACACATCTGTTCCTGTCCTTCAGTAGCCGTCCAATGTTCACTCAGCAACTGGAAGATGCCTTGCCTTACCTTAGCTCTTCTTCATGCATATACCATTTCAATTGTTCCTGTGGTTCAAATTATAGAGGGCATACGATTAGGCAAGTTACCAGCTTTGTTCAGCAAAGAGTAAATTAAGTGCATAAAAAGCTCGATTCTGTCATACTTGGTCTATACTGAACATCGCCTCGATGCTAACACAGCCTTTAGGTTTATACACCAGTTTCCAGAGTCGTTATAATGGCTGACAAGAAGACTCTAGACAATCTCGACTTCCAAGGTGATTTATGCCTAGTGTCACACAAACTCCAAGATCTATCTATAGGCAGAAAGCAACAGGTTGTCAGAAGAAGCAGGTGGCGAAGGCAGGACTTCAAGTGAACACAAAGAAGACAAAGATGATGGAGATACCTGACCGCTAACAACAACATCAACAACAAGAACCAAGAGGAGAAATGTGAAGGAAGTCGCCTCACTCACTTAATCTAAGCAGCAATATTTCAAGTAAAGGCGGCACATATGAGAATGTTTAAGACAACTGGGATTGGAGAAGCACCAACTTCCGAAGGTGAACAACTGACTGACTCATAAAAGTAAGCAAAAATAATCTGAAAAGATCAACTAACACAACTTACCAGGTGGAGTCATCGATAAGAGGTAATTAGCTACATTATTAGAAAATAATGTCGATGACTGACCAGGTAGTCGACTAGGCAGATCCATGTAACCAATATGAGCAACATCATGATGATAGGTTAATTTTCCAGGTACTGTTGTTTCTACATTCCCACCAGCATCTGAAGCCAAGTCAACAATAACTGATCCTGGACGCATTGATTCTACCATAGCCTAAAGTACACAACGACAATACAGAAATTAGCTTTACAGAAGGTGTTTAATGACAGTGATCTCTGACAGATTTCCCAATACGGTTTTATAAATTCAGAAGAAAAGATATTAGAGCCTTCATGATTGAATAAGTCGATAAATGCGATGAATTAACTGATCAGATCAATAATTTTGAGGTTCTTTGCTTGATTAGTTCAAATCTTTCCGTGTAACATACATGAACAAAAGCCTTCAGCGCTAAATTTGTTCTGCTTATCAAATATTTATAATATTTCCTAGTTTACTAGCTAGATGAAAGCCAAAACCATACAGGAAAGGTTGGATATAATATAGACTAGAGAGCCTACCCTATAATAAAAGAAGTCCTAAGGTTACATAAACTTCAAAGCACCGAAAAAAATCAACTTATAATTCGCTGGAATAAGCGAGACGAAATGATTCGGCCTAATGAAAGCTATAGTGCACCTTGAATGTATGAACTTTCGTTTTAACACATTTCTGTAATATAGCGCCACATCATCTTTGGTTGTTCCAGTGTGACTGCTTGCACTTGGCCCACTCCTATGTTGTGCTATCAATAAGCTCCCTCTTCAAGCTTGCTACCCCAGCCAGTTAACAGATAAGTTGTACATGTTAATTTTAGTTCTTAGCTTATTATATATAAACATAATTCATTTCTGAGCACATGACAGTGCATAACCCTCCTATCTTGACTTCATTCATCGGTACATACACGATAGGTAGTGTACTGATGAGGATTAACAGAGGATAGTAAGTTTAGCAGATGCTGACGTTAAGGATTATCTAGAGGCTGACATCGGCACATACAAAGCCTTCAGGAAGACAGTTAGCTGATGTTACATTTTTGAGAGAAAGGAAAAATTAGATAGCATTAGGACTTGGAAGATAATTGGAAGGTTAGGATTAGGGGAGGCGAAGGTCTAAACTGAATAGAATAAATAATAAAACCTGTTGCACAAGAGGTGGCTCTAGTGGATAACGCTTTGGCGTCTGAAACTATGGGCACTGGATTAGAGCCTCGGTTGGAATACTGTCACTCACTCAGGAATACATGTAAATCCAGATGAAGAGTCCCAAATAGGACAAAATGTGCATCTTGGCTTGATTCCACTGCTAGTCACCATCCACCGATTGACTCGAAGTTATAAAACGGTGGAAAGTTGTTGGAAATGATCACACCAAACAAAAGACTTCTAAGTTTGATCAGGAACTGACTTTAGATAAAGAACCATGAAAAACTGGCAAGATCCGTCGGCTGTTTTATGTAGTTTCAAACTTTTCTACAGTACGCACTCATGACCTCAATAGGTATCCAATTCAGGGACTTCTGGTCACCAGGCGATTTTGTTGACCATTCAGCCATTGGGACAGAATACAGTGGGCCACGAATTAGAACTTCTGCCAAATTGTGATATATAGCGCAATCGCTAGTCAGTGTCAACAACGAGGTGGACATTTTAATTAGACTTTGGCAGAAGTTAGAATTCAAGGACCATTGGATCGGGTTCCAGTGGCTTAATGGTATACGAGCTCGCCTTGTAACCGGAAGGTCCTGGGTTCGAATCCCGGTGGGTGCGTACTGATGAAGAGTCCCAAACTAGGACGAAACAGCTGTCCAGTACTCCCAGGTTTTCCAATGGTTCTCTAACTAATGTCAGCTCATGATGAAATCCTGAAATTAGACTTTCATTTAAAGATGATGAAATAAACTCACGAAATTACTGGCTACTTCAGGTTTGTTTCCGTGTTAACTTATTGTAAGACTAACATTATTCTATAACACAAAGAACAAGAATATGGATGCCATTCATTTGATCTTTTAATTTTATCTATCTAATTCCATAAAATTTGGTAATCAAGTGAATAGTGGATTTAGAAAAATCAGTAATATCTCAATAAAAATTATACAGCAGCATCGCTGAGGTTAGTAACGGATTAGGGCATTCCTGTCATCGCAGTCGATCTCGAGTTACATCTAAGCAGTCAACTAAGGAATGTACTGAAAACCTATGCCCACCTGATTGTGGGAAGTGAAGAGCGGGTCATTGGTGGAAGGGTGACATGAAGGAGATCGTGTGAATTGGTGGAGATGAGACATTGCGGACAATCATGGATCAATAACAAAACTTATCATTGCGTGTAAACTATTAAAATATAATTGCACTTTATTTGGAAATGTTTTGTTGAAGCCCTATATTCCACTCGGAACCCAAGGGAACAATAATAATAATAATATAAATATATATAAAGAGCAAGACAGCTTACCTTTGTAATTAGTCTCGGTGCTGGTTTCCCTGGAATTAAAGCGCTAGTAATTATAATGTCTACTTCTTTCGCTTGTTTTGCGAATAACTCCATCTCTGCTTCCAGGTATTTTTGAGACATTTCTTTAGCATAACCACCTATTCCTTCACCTGACTCCTATTGATTTAGTCAAAATGAAACAAAACGTAAAGTCAGAAAAAAAACACAGATTTCATGAGCAATCTTCATGCAGGCATGAGTGGGGAGGAAAGGCTGAAGGCGCTGTGTTCGCCGACGAATTCATTTTCCTCCACTTATGCCGTACAACAGCATTTCAATACAGTGTTTACATGAAAGTGGACAGTAACAAAGTTGACGAGTTTTCATAATCATGGCTGTTATTATTAGTCAGTGCATTAGAGAAGCTGAACGTAGGTGTATTAGAATTACGCAATAAGATGCATACTTTACTGAATGACTTGTAATCAGGATACACAGAGAAGGGAAGGAAAATATCAAATTATGCAGGGGTTGTAAAGAACTACAAGAGTTCTAAGGACTGAGTGACTGACGGAGAATGATGCTTAGGAAGGCTTCGTGTGGTTTTGGAAGTATTTGGGCAAAGGTTGTTAGTTCCCGGCTGCTCACACCGTGGAAGTTGATTGATTCTTCGGGTACCTGAAACAGAAAGAGGGTTAGTATTGCGTGACCATAGAGCCCAAGGGACAACTGCTTGAGGCCAGTCACACGCGGCATGTATGAACAAGTTTCTTGGATTGGTTTCGTATTAGTAAACTTACCGCCTGTTACGGACCACCATCGTTGGGTAAGTCGGGATGTACAATTTTTTTGGTCGACCTTTTCTAACCTCCTCTCTCCAAAGTGGAGAGACAGCATAGCTGGGTGGTATGCTGATCATTTGAGGGAAACACCTTACTGCTGTTACATTCCTGTTTCTAAGTAGTACGACTTCGCCCACAGACCCCAAACATAGTGTAAAAACACAGTTTTTTTGTTTAGTGAAGAAATTTCTTTTCAACGACTTCATTTTCAAGCTGTACAGTCGTATTTATATTAAAGAAAAAGTTATTAAGTGGCACTAAATAATTGCTCAGTCAATATACATATATAAGTGATAAGAATAATGATACTTAAAATGTTATAAGGGGTAGAGTTGAAGTGGATAAATTACAAAATTATTAAGGATTGTTTTATAAGTGAATTGATACCAAAAATGTCAAGTGTTGTCTAAAAATTTAAAAAAATTTAGGAGTACGATTACGATAAGAATGAAGATGTGAAGTGAAGTGGAAAGAATTCAAGTGGTAAAATAAAATAAAAACTAGAAAGAACATTATTATGACCAAACGCTTTTGAACACATAATTTAGGTTTCTGTTCATGTATAGCTAAAGCTTCGGCTATGCATAAGTGAAGAAAACGTAAACTTTTGGATCGATTCGACTTTGCCATGTAGATAACTTTGAAAGATGAATCACGTGGGGCTAAATGACCAGATTCTAACAGGTGATCACAAATGGACGACTTCGCAGTTCTACGTTCGCTTTTCATTAACCAAACCAGATAGTGTTCAGCGACATGTTTTCGGAGATTACGCTTACAATTTCCAATATGAACAGCTCCACAAGAGCAGGTAAAAGAGTAAATGCACATAGATGTGGACAAAAGTGATAATCTATCCTTGACGCATTGTCTATTCATATGTCGGCTGGTAAAACTAGTTGCAAGTCAGATGCAGGAAAAGTGCTTTTACTTCATTTAGAAAAACGATTTTTAATCAATTCCGAAATGGTGTCACCTTTGAATGCTAGACTCATAAACAGTTTTTTCTTTGGCACTGTGATTTGTCTAGGGGCGGATTCTTTCTTGATGTTACCTTGAATAAACCTAGTAGGATAACCATTGTTAAGGAGATTTGATCGAAGGTTATTTGGTTCTTCGCTGAACAAAAAAACTGTTTTTACTTCTGAATAAATGGGTACTTTTCGTGAGTGTAAAGAGAAAAATTCTTACACAATGCCGGTAACTGCTTTTATTCTAATCGCTATCCTAACAACCTTCCTATTATGGTAAGAGCTGCAGGAACAATAGTTCCAGCCAGTGTAGCTTGTCGGGTCACTGCGATATGCAAGGCCGACCACCACATCGAGGTAGCAACTATCGGTCAGGAGAATTATAAGGAGTCAGAAAAACGAACAAAAATCAAGTTGGTATAAATCAAGAAGGCTATTACTATGATAGTAGAATTAGTTGAATAATTTCCTTTTGTATATATATATATATATATATATATATATAGCTCCGGTTTTTCTAAATGAATGGGTAAAGCTTCAGCAATACAAAGGAGACGAAAGCGTATAGCCTTTGGCAGAGGTCGTTGTTCACTCTGTAGATTATTTTGATGGAGGTATTTGTTTTGATGGAATAATGACCAGTGTTAACACCAGGTGTCCGATTATCACACTCCTTATAATGGAGCCACTACTGTCCTTCTGCAGTTATGCGAGATATGCATCGAATGACCAAAATTACAACTCACTGATTATATTATTCACATTTTACTGCATAACGCTAATACACTTCTTATTTAATAACTATGATTATGACAACTCATCACTTTTATCACTATCCTAATTTGCGGAAGCATTGTAATATAAACATGATTGTACAGCTAGAAAAGAAAATGAATTCCCCGCGAAAGGAGCGTCTTCGCTGAACTATGTGATCTGTTTTCATTCACAAATAAAAAACACAAACACCAGTATCTCCTCGTAACTGTGATGATAAATTAAACACGTAAGCTGAAAAAGTAACAAATTCTTGTCACCATTTTATGTATATAATAAGCTTTGTTCATTATAACAACCCTAGAACCTTTATCTGGTCTACATATGACGATTTCATAGCTTCTTCAGGGCTATTCTGCGATTTTCGGTCAGCATCTTCTGCTTCTCCATTGACGATATGTGATATTGGTTAGCAATACCAACAAGTTTAGACTTTAGCCATCCTCTTTTATCTTCGTCTAAGGGTTCGCCTCTGGGACCTATCCTGACTTGTATCTTCATGAGCTACCTTGAACAGACACAACTGAGCTCTGTTATCAATGGGACAACCTGCTATCGCCAGTATGTTGATGACACATTTGTTGTTTGCAACAACATAGATCAGGCATCGGCATTATATGATCGTCTAAATGAGATCCATCCAAACATCGAATTCACCATAGAATAAGAACATAATAATGAGTTCAATTTCATGGATGTAAATGTAAAAATAACAAATAAAGGCATGATCGAAAATTCCATTTATAGAAAAGAAACCTGGACTGGACAATATCTTCACTATAACAGCTTTTGTCCCATAAGCTATAAACGTGGATTGGTAAGGACTTTGTACAACAGAGCCAGGAAGCTATGTTCATCAAACAAGGTCGAAGAAGAATTAGATTTCGTCGAGAAATGCCCAAGGGAAAATAGATACCCCAAGGGATAGCAGCGAAAAAGATAAGAACGAAGAGCATCCAACTGTAGAAAAGAAAAAAAGTGTCTCCCATTCAACGGAGATGCAGTGTCACAAAAGATTGACAAAAGACTGAAGATGCAATAAATAGAAGCTTCCCTGCAGCAAAACTCATAACAGTATACAGGACCACTCCTTCTATAATCCCCTCAAAACTGGATAAATACACTGCTGATGTCACCTCCATTTGCGTTTACGAATTTACGTGCACTTGCATGAGCAAGTACACTAAGAGGATGGAAAAGAAGGCTTCTATCCGATTTTCTGAACATATTCCAAGAAATCTGTGTCTGAAAGGAAGCAAATATTCTCAGAGTGAAATTACCCGACATATTGTTGATACCGGACATCTCGTAGAGACTTTAAAATATTAAATAAGTAAAAAACCAGCAAATTTACTGCGATTTGCCGAAGCAATCGCAACCAAACAATTGAAACCAGATTAATGCATACAGAAAGAGAGCGTGATTAATCTCTCACTGCCTTAGTAAATGAATTTTGATTTTAATTACATTAATTTCATCGGTCATCTAATTCAGTGATCTCAAATCACTGAACAAATCTCAACCTTATAAACTGTAACTGCCTTGGTTTTTTGAGTTGCTAACACCGGACAGGACTCCGGGTGAACATAGACAATACGGAGGTTATGAAAATAACCAACCAACCAACAACAACAGCAGCAACATCCAGCGTCAATCACCATCACTTATCTAGGGAGTATTGTCTCACCTACAGGAGGAACGGACGAGGATAACTAATCGAGAATCCGAAAGGCGAGAAACACATTCATCAACCTGAAACCAATCTGGAAATCTTCGTCACTTAACTCAGCATCAACAACAAAATTCGGTAGTATTTTCAATACAAACAACGTCAAGTCGGTCAGCTCTTCTATACGGATCAGAAACTTGGCGGGCGGATGGGTCACAAAGAATGTTTCCAACAGGCTATTGCAGACCTTTATCAAAAACTGTCTTCGCTGGCTCTATACTGAAGATCACATGGCCGAGCCGGAAAGAATCACCAACAAGAAACTATGGGGAGGAACAAACAAAACAAGAACCAATCACCAACCAACAAATATGCAGGAGAAAGTGGAGATGGATTGGATTCGACACTCACTGAGGAGGCCGCTCGCTGGGTGACATCGTGCGCACGTCAGGCCATTGCTCGAGTGGAATCAGGCCGAAATGGAAGCGGAGAGTAGGACGTCAATGCAAGTGTGACATGGAGGAGATCGTGTGAAGAGGAGTTGGTTGAAACAGTATGGACTAACATGGATGCAGGTGAAAAATTAGGCAGAAGACAGAAGTGGCTAGTGGAGACGTGCAGTTGAAGCCCTATTTTCCACTAGGAACCCAAGGGAACAATAATAATACTCTTCTGTTAATTATTTTTTTCTGTTTTCTGTCTTACCCCTCCCCTCTCTTTTCAACTTTAAAAAGCGTATAGATTGATGATGAAAACCTAAACTAAAATTGTAGTGTAGCTTACATTTTGGATGCGTCAATCTCTTCTCTACTACCACTCAAAGATTTAAGTATGTTGTTATCATCTATATATGTAACCATTGTAATTTCAGGTAGTCAACAGCTGATTAGAATCTGTGAAATAGTATGAAATCTGGTCTCCCTTTCTCTATCGAAATTTGTCAAGGGGATCAGATGTATGAAATAAGACATTTACTACAAAGTAATAGAACTCTGTAATAATAATAATAATAATAATATCGACTGATCTATTCACTTTCAACTTAGCACAGAATATGAAACATAAAAATTTCGCTAATATTCATTAATAGGCATACACAACGAACCTTTTAATAAACAAAATATATTCACACTAAAGATAAACATTTTCGACCTCTCACTCACACACACAGACACCCTCCTCTTTGTGATCATCTGACCGAGGAAATGTTTCTTGACCCAGACATAAAGAACACAGACATTCCAGAGTTTGTAAAGTAGTAGCACAAATAATAAGTCTGATGAAAATAACTTAAGCTTAAGGTCACATAGAATTGACTAATATCACTCCTCTACCTAAAGATTCTGTCTAATTGTATCTATAAAATAAAATGTTTGCTTGGAAGGTGTGATGTGATGCGATATACATCGGAAAACCATCGCTAGTGAGAAATCAAAATCAGAAGAAATGAACACTGTAGAAATCCAGTTAGTGAACTAAGAAAATAAATTGAATATTCCCATAATTTATTCAGAATAAAATATTCAGAGCGAACAATTGTCATTTTCAATAAATTCTTCCCTCTTCAGGCTCTACAATTATAAATTCATTAATCCATTGAGCATACATACAATAGCCAACCAGCCAGTCAGTAAAGGCGAATTAGAATCATATCAGAAAGTGTATTGTGGAACAAGTGTAAGTAAGATGGGATGAAACAATAGTCATATAGTTGTTCAATATGCATGGTCAATGAGAACATGGGACAGAATGAGTTGAAGTAATTTAATTTAATGATGTGTGTATATATATACTCAATATAAATATAGTCAGCAGAAAATTCATGAATAAGAGTGATTATTTAGACAAAATGAATATCATTCTAAGCGACCATACAAAATTTCAAAAGCTGAGCAGGTGTAAAGACACAACTGAGGCAACCGAATGCCAAATGGCTAAGACACTAAAATCACTAATTGAGAGTAATCTGATTCCTAAGGATACACTCGACGACGAATCGAAACCCTCAGGTACGCAAACACCAAGACTTAATGGTTTGCCGAAAGTCCATAGGCCGGGAGTACCACTACGTCCCATCTTAGATATGTGTTTATCCCCTTATCATTCTACAGTAAAGTGGTTGGTAAAGGCACTAGAACTGTTACATCGCGAATTATTGAAATTCAGTGTAAAAGACGTATTCAGCTTTGTGGAAATTACCAAAAGCCTGAATGTAAAGGGAAAGAAAATGATGTCACTGGATGTAGCATCATTATTCACCAACGTCCTACTGCTTGAAACAGTTAACTACATATGTGACCAGCTGATAGAAAGAAAGACAGATGTAGGAATCCCATCCGAAAAAGTCAAAGAGTGATTATTGAAATGCACTATGAATGTTCAATTTATGTTCAGTAATGGTTTTTATAGACAAGTTGATGGTGTAGTCATGGGATCACCTGTGGGCCCTATCCTGGATATTTTCCTGGCAAAGCTTGAAAATGGTCCACTCAAAGACACGATTAAAGGGCTTGACTATTATTGTCGATATGTAGATGATACCTTTATCGTTTGTGATAGAAATCTTAATAAACAAGAGCTTCTGAATGCTGTTAATAGTTTTCACCCAACTATTCAGTTTACATGTGAAGAAGACAGTAACAGTTTACCTTTCCTAGACGTCCTACTTACCATGAAGACAGACGGATATCTACAAAGGAAATTATTTAGAAAGAAAACTTGGACGGGTCAGTACACCCATTTTCATAGCTTCACACCGATTCAGTATAAAAGAAACTTAGTTAAGCGTCTTAGATATAGAATAAAACGCATATGTTCAGAGGAATACATTAAGGAAGAAATGTATAAACTGAAACTCGCACTACATGAAAATGGATATCCATAGAGCTTCCTGAAAAAGTATATGTCAATACCGACAGACAGGGTAAAGGTGGATACCGTAGACAAGAAACCTTTGTATCTTAAGTTAAGTTACAAAGGGGAAATTGCAGCTGACATTCTAAAATGTCAACTCAATACAGCAATAGATAGAACATTTCCTGCAGCTAAACTGGTACTAAACTTCTCAACTAAACCAGTACTCACACAGCAAGTAAAGGATAAATTACCAAAGATGGCCTCATCAATGTGCATCTACGAATTCAACTGCTCATGTGGAGCCAGTCACATTGGCCATACTCAGAGGGCTTTATCCATGCGCGCACATGAACACGCACCTGTATGGTTGAGTAAAGGAGTAACCAAATGCGTAAATAGTGCAGTGTTGGCCCAAACGGTAGATACTGGACACTCGATAAAACTTGACTAGGCGTTCTCAGTTACTTACCGCGTTCCTAGCAATTTATCTAGAGGAGCTTGACTACGTCTTCTATCAGTAGCTGAAGCGGTGAAAATTAATGCCAGAAGACCATCTCTTTGCATACGAAAGAAGTGAAGTATGTTCAGCCTCTATCTATGTTTACCTTGGCCTACAATAAAGCCAACAAATCCTCCATTAACACTATAAATTCCTTTCACAATTTTCTTTTCTTTTCCTTCTTCTATTCCTCTGTTTCATTGAAAAACGTTCATTTTCGACTTTTATGTTTTCATGACCTTTCTTATGATTTTATTACCTTAGGTTTAAGTAGTGCTTTTCTAACTTGCTATCGTATTTACAAAATCCTGTTCATTCTACTTCATTATATTCATTATTATTATTATTGACAATCATTCACCAATGGTACATTTAATTTTAATTTTACACCATATCATCGTTATTATTTTACAATCATTCTTATTGTTGTTATTTTCAACCTGGAACTTATGTCTTGACCGCCCCATTCGTTGGTTTATTTTCATATTGCCTCACACACCCTGATTACACTCACTCTCAAAACCTGTATTTTCTGCTGACTATATTTATATTGAGTATATATATACACACATCATTAAATTAAATTACTTCAACTCATTCTGTCCCATGTTCTCATTGACCATGCATATTGAACAACTATATGACTATTGTTTCATCCCATCTTACTTACACTTGTTCCACAATACACTTTCTGATATGATTCTAATTCGCCTTTACTGACTGGCTGGTTGGCTATTGTATGTATGCTCAATGGATTAATGGATTTATAATTGTAGAGCCTGAAGAGGGAAGAATTTATTGAAAACGACAATTGTTCGCTCTAAATATTTTGTTCTGAACTAAGAACACTTGAAAAATGATCAGCCATAGTTCTGTCTACACGCTATAGAATCAGGTCACAAAACTGATTTTAACAATATTGAAATAATCCAGAAAAAGCATCTCAGAAATCACAAAGAACGTCTCACATCATCAGAAGTCCTTCATATCAAGTGGAATCCAAATTGTCTGAATAGGAATGATGGACTAAAACAGAATTTGACGTGGTTACAACACCTGCTTCCCTCCCCCATGAACTGACAAAATCAACACGAATGTGTGATATAAACACATGTAAACAATCTACACTTGGTTTTGTTATCTTTACCAATTGATCAACTTGACAAGGTGAAAAATGCCCCCCTTCTGAGGAACGATGATCAAGTTGTTATATATAAACTGAGATTTTGTAAATTCTGGTTTAATAACACTTTGATAAAGCTATTAGCAGCATTAAATAGCTAAACGTCAATAAAAACGACAACAATATCGTTTTGCTTTTTCCATTCATTCATTGGGAAATAAAAAACAAACTTTTATTATAATTAATTCACATCTTTTGTTGAAATTTCCTCACCAGATATATTTTCTAAAATATCATATGTATATATTACTGAATTCTCTGAAAGTAGTCTTTTCGCTAAATATATCATGTTCTCTATGATATACAATTAGAATTTGATGATATTAGATGGTTGGAGGTAATCGGCAGGAAGACCTGCCTGACTCAGGTTTCGTGTCTGTTGGCACTCGTCAGCAAGGCGTATCTGCGGCCTTCAAGGAACTCATGTCCCCTCTGAGATTCGATCCTGCGCCACCCAGTGACGAGTGCCAACCAGCACGAAACCTAGGTCAGTCAAGGCTTCTTGTGGCCGATTGCCTCCAACTATCTAATATTATCAAACCAATGTGCACCGCGATGGCGACCTACCTAGAATGGTGGCCACATTACAAACCTGACTGATAGAATTCAGTCTGCACACATCACACTAGTTACTAATATCCAATCAGAATACAATTAGAATTGTTAAATTTTATATTAAATAATTCAACTGACTTGTATATCGACAGTTAAAAATTCTGCACCGAATGATTCCACTTGCTCACGAACTGCTTCACGCGTATCAAAAGCGCGTACCACAGCGCCTAGACTTCTAGCTGTACTAACAGCTGATAGACCTGCAACACCACCACCAACAACCAACACTTTTGCCGGGGGAATTCTACCAGCTGCAGTGATCTGACCTAAAGATTAGTGGAGGTATGTTGATGAAAGAAATAATAATAATGAATATCATTCACAGATGGGATGTGTTTTAAAAAAAGTAATAGTATATTGACAGAATTTTTAATGTACTTTTGTTCTCTGAACTAGCTGCATGGTTTATAGTTGAGAAGCTTTCATTGCCCCCTACTAGGCAACATCTTCAGTGCATACACACTTCAATTTGATGAAGTGAGCTTTGAGAATTCTCCACGAAATCAGATGTCATGTCTCCTGGTGATAACTTTGGAAGTGATTGGTTGTGCACTGGTAGTGATTGTTTCCCTGACCTGAAGTTGTTGACCCTTTGTGTGTGTGTGAGATTTACTTCTTATCGATTGGTAAATTTTGTCTATGTCAATGTGTCAATTAATTGACAATTCGCTGGAATACCAGGCATTCTTGATGTGTTCCTCTGTCGAATATTTGAAGTAAAATCACTCCACCATTTTATAAAAGACATCTCAGTAATCACCACAAGACTCTTCAAACCTTTAGGAATTGATGTCACACACACACAAACTAACAAAATCACTTCACTCAGCCAGCTCTGCGTCAACCAAATCTTCTCCACTATTTTAAGTAATGATAAAAATAATAACAATATCGGCTAACCTGCAAAAAATCGATTGAACAATCCAGCCGCTTCAATGACACCTTTATATCCAGCAATATTAGCCATAGAGGATAACACGTCGAACGACTGAGCACGACTTATGCGTGGTATACAATCCAAGGCGAGTAAATTAACATTCTTCTTACTTAATTCATCAATTAACGACTGAAAAAGACAAAAGAAAAGAAGTACAGTAAAAAAAAAGTGGTCATAGATAGACTAAAAAACTTCTGGGGGGGGGTGGGTAGGGGCACAAAACAGTACTTCAAATCTTCACAATGCAATGAACTAGTTTCATTGAAAATCGAATCCATAGTCATCGTGCTCACGACCAACTACTGATAGTTGAGTCACTTCGTAAATCTTCATCTTCATTATTACTATGCAGAGAGAATTCCATTATGGGTAAAAGCTAAAATAAAAATAATGGTGAAACTAATAATGATAACACAAATAAGAGAGAATATATAAGACATCTGAGACCCTACGTAGGATTCTTAATAAAGCAGGAATCAGGGTGGCATTCAAACCTACCTAAAACTCACTCAAGTAGGACAAGCTCTGTAGGTTAAAGGACCCAGTGGACCCATCTAAATAGAACAATATAATTTACACAATACCTTGCAACGACTGTGAGTCAGGTCAACTAGACAGATCAAACTAGTAGATCAGGAGTAGTCAAATTGCCTATCAGAACATAAGAATTTAGCTAAGGTTAGAATGATTGATTCCGCGAAGATAAGTAATTTAGAAAAACAAACTCAGCATTTGCTCTACATGTATTAACACACACACACACACAACCACACAATGTGATCGGTGGGACAGAGTCAAAATTCTAAAAAGTAATATAGGTAGGTGGACAGCTAGGCAGGTTGATTGCTGAGTCTTCCTTCATCGAATCTACATCCAACCAGAGATATGGAAAATATGACTACCAATCAAATCAAGAGATGAGAACTGGTGGAATCATTTAAAAGAAGTTGGAAAGTTGTGTGACTAATGTCTTGATATGATTATGAACAATAATAAATTGTGCTCGAACCGTTGTCATCAATAAATATTACTTACTGTATAACACCACTGTGAGACTTTATCAAAATAAATTTTATCCATAATGGAATTATACCCCCCATCAACAAAGTGTCCAGTAATGTAGTTAGAATCTTTAGTAAACAACATATCGGGATGCAGCATGACAATAATAACGAATAATAACTTATGCCCGTTGCAGAAGAGGTGGCTTTCGTGGCCCAAATAGTCAAGTGGATAACGACGCATTGGAGCCTGAGATGATGGGTGTTGGATCCGAGTCTCTCAGTGAGAACAGCATCACCCACTGGGAAGTGCATTCTGGATTTCACTGCTAGTCAAAATCCATCTAATTTATTTGGTTGGTATCAGCTAACAGTGAAATCTAAGATGCGTGTTTCGCATTAATATATGTGTAAAACTTGGGCACTGTGGTAGTAAGTAATTTCATATTAGTTTGTTTATTAGATATATCACACACACAGAGTGAAACAGTATTATTTACTGGATGACACAGTTTCGAACACAATCTAGTATTGTTCATAATCATTTCATCATTTATAATCACACGACTTCGAAACTTGAGTTTTATAGTTTTTTTTGTTCTCTCCCATTCGTCGTCATTGGGGTAGTAGAATTTTCCAGATATCTGGCTGGACAGGTGTTGAATGATTCACTTCTATTACACGGATTTGCAGTTGATTCAGTAAATAAAGCTTCTGTTATCCCACTATCTCCATCCACCCTGCTACATTAGATTTTAAAAATGTCATCTTATCCCATCCTATTGTATGGTTGTGTGTAACTGCATGTAGTGAGTGCTATAGCTGAACTATTCTCTAGATTTCTTATGTTATTCGGGTCAACCAATCTAGATTTTGCTGCTAGGTTTTTATGCTCGGCTAGTCTGACTGCCCGCCCGTGTTCTACTACCTTGACCTACTTATTTGACCTGACAATCATTGCAGGCAGGCTATTAGATAAACTAAATTGTTTTGTTTTAAAGGTTCACAGGATTGATCCTTTGACCGACAAAGCTTGTTTCTACTTGAGTTTGTTGGTAGTTTGAATGCCAACCAATTTTATTCCCAGGGGTTTCCGAGGTTCCTTCCTTGTATGGGATTACTACTATTGATTTAGTTTCCTTATTGTTGGTGTTGTCTTGCGCATATGTGACATGCATGTCGTCATTAATATTATTATTATTATCATCACTATCATTATTTATTTTATTTTTACATTTCCCTACATATTTCCTGACTAATTTATCAGGGTAATTACTAAGTTTCAAGGTTTCCTTTGCATGTTTCTCCCCACTCATGACTCGTCATTTGGATGCCTTTACATCTTAGTGAGTGACAGTGATGTTAACACCGATACTCGAACCTACCGTCTATCATCTCAAGTGCCAAAACGTGCCAAACGTAGTAGGCTACGGAAATATATGACAGCCACCTGGAAAACAACTGTTATCTGTTGTTTCGTATCGAAATTGTTTTTCTACTGCCTATAGATTAATACTCCTAGACCAAAATGCTAGGTCTATGATGGCATTTTAGCTTCTAGTATAAACGCTGGCAATGAAATCTCAGCACGGATCCGAAAAGCTCGACCTGCTTTCGCTGACTTACACCATCTCTGGCGTAGGCGTGACATCCGGTTATCAACCACGGGACGTGTATACTGCTCAGCTGCAGTTCGCTCCGTCCTTCTCTGTGGCTCTAAAACATGGCCAATACGCGTTGAAGACATGAAAAGGTTGACTGCTTTCAATCATAGATGTCTGCGATCTCTGTCTCACGTTAGGTGGTTTCACAAGATAAGTAATGTTGACGTTAGGCGTAGAGTGTTGGGCAAAGAGGGAAAATCAATCGACGAGGCTATAAAGTTACACAGATTGAGATGGCTAGGTCACGTGGTGCGCATGCCTAACCACCGCCTCCCCCGACGGGCATTGCTAGCTGATATAGGTGCAGGTTGGAAAAGAGCCAGTGGTGGCCAAACAAAAACATGGCCTCGTCAATCCCCGAAATCCGTGACATTTAAACTGAGTCGGTCAGATAGGGAGATGCAGACTTCCGGGTTGGGGCCCTCGGGACTCTAGGAATCAATGGCTGGAGACAGTAGGTGACATGGCTCAAAATCGTTGTCAATGGCGCAGGTGTATTCACCCTCTGTAAGCTTTCATATTCCTTTCTACCATTACCCATTCTGTTTCACTCTTATACTTGTCAAACTCTATTGATTCTCTTCACTCATCTTCTTGTCTACCTCTGTGTGCTATTTGGAACGTGGCAACTCGAACTGCTGCACTTCGGTGCCAAGTTCTATGTTAAATCCAAACAGACAGTATAAACGCTGTTGATGCCTTGAAGTTAGTTTTGATGTCTCTTAGTTGATATCACCTACCATTGGATGCACGTTTGATCATGTGTAGAGAGTTAAAAAACGATTTCAATAAGTGTAGCTTATTATCTAAAACAGTTGATGAGTTGTATTCACACCCACGCATGCATCAACAACACTCTTTCACCTTTTGTCCAATTCAAAATCAAAGTAAAAAAATGTTTTAATAGTTTACTAATTGTAAAGCATAACTACAAAGTAGAGGTACTAATTCAGTTAGAAGTGACATAATTGAGTACTTTGTCAACACCTATTACAGCATTCCAACTAACACACACCATTTAGAGTTATTCAGAAAGTAAACAAAAATCCACCGAAGGCAGTGTGTTTCCAACTTTCGTGTACTGAATAACCAGTCGCTGTATGTATCGAAGGGCCGGAGATATATTTTTAAAAGAAACTAGTTCACCCTCTATATTCCCTATGGATTTAGCTTGGTTTAACTCCGTAGTTTTTGTTATTTTGTTTTTGTCTTTTTAATTCCCTTCATCTTGTTTTCCATTTTGGTTATTATTATTATTATCCCTCCCTCTGTTTCCGAGTGGAACACACAGCTTCAATAACACATCTCCATCTCGTTCTATATAGTGCTGTACTCTTCAGCTGGTAAGCTCCACGACTGCCCATAATCTCTCATCTCATCAACACCACCCTCAGACCAACGACCAAGTCGTCGCTTCTCATTTGAATTCCACTCGAGTGAGATGGCCTGAATTGAGCATGACGTCATTTGGCGGCCTCCTCAACATGTGTCCAATGAGTCCATCTTCATTTTCTCCTACATCTGCACTTGTTGATCAATCGGCTCTTGCCTGTTGGTTTTTTTCCTAGCCAGAGTTTCTTGCTGCTAATTCTTTCTGGTCCGCCAGCTGTTCTCATTTGATCTTCAGTATGGAGCCAGCCAGCGAATGGGGTAGCTATTGATAAAAGTCTGTAATATTTCAGTTATACAAAGCTATTATTTCAGTTTGTCTATATGCACATCTCATTTATACTCTTATTAGTCAAAAAAACAGTTTTACATACTTCGCAATTATTTTCTAATTCTATGTAGTTTTCGACAACTTAACCTCGCCAGATTACTAGCTTGCTAGGCTACTAGCTTTCTAGTTTTCTAGCCGGTCTCAAGCCTGGATAAAGAGGGAGGGTTGGGGCGTGGTGCTAGCAACTTCACCCCCCTAAAACAACCAAATCGCTACAGAAGCTTCAACGAATAAATATATTAAAAATTCTAAAAACATAAACAATAGCCTTATTTTTCGCTGGAATCGGGGAAGTGAAATGACGCAGGCTGGTGAAAGCCTTCGGAAAGCCAGTCAGCCAATCTGCCTTCTTTCGATGAATGCAAAAGTACGGATGGGTACCTGGAATGTTCGTACAATGTACGAAACTGGAAAGGCTGCCCAGAAAACCGCTGAAATGAGAAGGTATAGAATAGAAGTGTTGGGAATCTGCGAAAGCAGATGGAACGGAGCTGGAAGGTGCGAACTACCTACTGGAGAGACAATAACTTATTCCGGCCACCCAGAGGACAACCACGAATACACCGAGGGAGTGGCCATCATGATATCACCAACAGCAGCCACCAGGATAATGACAGCCAGGTTCAACTCAAAAGGAAGGAAAGTTACGGTCATTGAATGCTATGGGCCTACAAACGTCTCAGAACAAGAGAAGAAGGAGGGGTTCTACAGACAACTACAAACAATAATGGACAACGTCCCAAATGGCGATATCAAAATCCTGGTGGATGACATGAATGCGAAGCTGGGAGGAGACAACACAGGAAGAGAACTCACCATGGGTCGTGAGGCCCTCGGCGAAATGAACGACAATGGTGAACTCTTCTCAGACTTCTGCGCCTTCAATGATTTGGTGATTGGTGGTAGTGTTTTCAAACACAAGGATATACACAAGACGACATGGATTTCACCAGATGGAAACACCAAGAACCAAATAGACTTCATCTCAATTTCAAGAAAGTGGAGACGGAGCCTACTGGACACAAGGTCGAGGAGAGGAGCAGATGTGGGTTCAGACCACTATCTAGTACAAGGGACTTTCAAGGTGAAGCTAAAAGCCTCGAGGATAGCTGGGGATAGGCCACAATGCAAGTTCAACACTCAAAACTGAAGGACACAACCACAAAAGACACTTTCACTGCAACTGTCAGAGCAAAGCAGGAAACACTACGCGACATCACAGAAGACTCATGCGTGGAAGAACATTGGAAGTCTCTGAAGGCGATTTTCAACGAAACGTGTTCAACGGTTCTAGGAAGAAAGAAGAGACAAGACAAGGAATGGCTCTCAACGGACACTTGGAAGCTAATAGAGGAGAGGAGAATGGTGAAAGAGAAAATGATTCAATGCAAAGAAGAATAAGAGAAAGAGACGCTGAGCTCAACTTACACAGCAATGGACAAAGAAGTGAAGAAGAGTGCTAGGAAGGACAAAAGACGATTCTACGACAATCTGGCCACTGAAGCTGAGAAGGCAGCAGGCAAAAGGGACCTGAGGACACTATATCAGATAACCAAATCTCTATCCGGGAAGAGATCAACACAAGCGAAACCTATAAAAGACAGCCAAGGGAACCCAATTACCAAGGAAGAAAGACAGATTAAACAATGGGCGGATCACTTCAAAGGACTCTTGAACCGACCATCACCTGCAACCCGTCCAGAAATACCACCAACAACGCGCACACAACTGCAAGTTGACACCAATCCTCCAACGAGAGCTGAAGTCTTGAATGCAATCAAGCTTCTGAAAGCTGGAAAAGCAGCTGGACCAGATGGAATACCCCCTGAAGCACTGAAAGCGGACCCAGAGACTACAGCAGACATGCTGAATCCACTATTGCAAAAGGTCTGGAAGGAGGGAAAGGTGCCTACTGACTGGAGGAAAGGTTACCTCGTGAAACTACCAAAGAAGGGCGACTTACGCCTCACTCGGCAAGAACTGGCGAGGAATCATGCTCCTGTCGACGCCAAGTAAAATCCTGAGTCGCATCATCCTGGAGACGCACTGGAGACAGAACTCCGACCAGAACAAGCTGGATTCAGGAAAGGCAAATCATGTTCTCACCAAATTGCAACTGTACGCATCATCATCGAACAAAGCATGGAATGGCAATCAAACCTCTACCTCAACTTTATAGACTTTGAGAAGGCCTTCGACAGCGTTGACCGTGAAGTAATTTGGAAATTACTCGAGTACTACGGCGTACCCCAAACATTCATCAACCTTTTTCAACAGCTGTACGACAACGGCACATGTTAAGTGATCCATAAGGGAAAACTCAGCGAGGCGTTTGGAGTAAACACAGGAGTCAGGCAAGAGTGCTTGCTTATTATCACCAATGATATTCCTAATTGTGGTGGACTGGTGGATTATGCGTCAGACAGTGGAAAACAAGAAGACAGGGATATCCTGGACCGACTTGAAGAACCTAGAAGACCTGGATTTCGCGCGTGGATGATTTCTGTTTGATGTCACTGTCACAAAATCGAAGACTTGCAAGCGAAAACCGACAAACTGGTCGAAGAAGCAGCCGGCGAAGACAGGACTCCAGGTGAACATAGAAAAGACGGAGGTTGTGAAAATGACCAACCAACCAACAACAACAGCAGCAACATCCAGCGTCAATCACCATCAACGGGAGGGATTTGAAAGAGGTTACTTCATTCACTTATCTAGGGAGCATTGTCTCAACTACACGCAGTTGGAACGGACGAGGATGTCAAATCGAGCGTGAATCGGGAAGGCGAGAAACACATTCATCAACCTCAAATCAATCTGGAAATCTTCGTCACTGAGCATCAACAAAAAAATTCGGATTTTTAATACAAACGTCAAGTCAGTCAGCTGTTCTATACGGATCAGAAACTTGGCGGGCGGGTTACAAAGAATATTTCCAACAGCCTGTTGCAGACTTTCATCAACCAACAACTTTCTTCGCTGGCTTTATACTGAAGATCAGATGGCCGGGCCGGAAACAATCACCAAAAAGGAACTATGGGATAAATAATACAAAAACCAATCACCACCCAACAAATATGCAGGAGAAAGTGGAGATGGATCGGACACTCGCCGAGGAGGTTGCTGGGTGACATCGCGTGCGCGTCAGGTCATTGCTCGAGTGGAACCAGGTCGAAAGGGAGGCGGTGAGTGGGACGTCAGAGCAAGGGTAACACGGAGGAGATCGTGTGAAGAGGAGTGGGTTGAAACAGTATGAACTAACAGGGATGCAGGTGGAAAGAACAGCAGAAGGAAGAAAGAAGCAAGTGGAGACGTGCAGTTGAAGCCCTATGTTCCACTAGGAACCCAAGGGAGCAACCATAATAATAATTCGATGACTTCGCAATGTCTTCTTCGATGAGTTACTGCCTCATCTTCAACCTGCTGTACCCTACTGATCACGGCTTCCTATTAGAACCCCAGGTTAACTGCCTGAATAGGGCCAGTCAGTAGTGAGTATCAGATTAATTTTCAATTATTGGTTTTGTAGGGATTTTGTTTGATTGCATGGAGAATTTCATCATGAGCTGACATCGGTTAGAGAACCATTGGATCGGGTCCCAGTGGCTCAATGGTCTACGAGCTAGATCGCCTTGTAACCAGAAGGTCCTGGGCTCGAACCCCGGTGGGCGCGTACTGATGAAGAGTCCCGAACTAGGACGAAACAGCTGTCCAGTACTCCCAGGTTTTTCTGTGGTTCTCTAAGTGATGTCAGCTCATGATGAAATCCTCCATGCAATCAAACAACACCCCTACAAAACCAATGCTTGAAAATCTATGTAGTTTTGTTTCTAAAACAATTATCTCGTTTCGAGTGCCGGAGGGTTAATGATACTTATCTAAACTGCGTTTGTTTTCCAAAATCTCTTAATAGGTTTCACAGCCCCATCCTAATATTTGGCAGGGAAACAATATAGACATTGAGAGAACAAAATTCTTTAATGTGTTATGCAGAAAAATGAAGGGGACAAGCTGCTGCCAGAGTTTAGTTCTGGTCACTATTGCTTGACTAGCTTCTATACACTAAGAAGAGGTTGAGGAAAGCAGCTGATGCTATTTTTGTTGATTTCAGCGAAACCCTTCATAAGTTCTACTACTAAAATATTTTGCTATGGTTAGACAGTTTATGAATACAAAAAATAAGTATTGATATTGAAGTGGATTCGTTTAGGAGTGGAAGTCAAGTCGAGTCGAGTTCAGTCACCACTGTCCCGTCCTCCTATAAACCAGAGACACAGTATCAGGAGACTCTCTCGTTGGTTTACAAGAAGTAGGTTAAGCATCATCATGATTTAAGTCATCAAGAGAGCTTTGTATAAAGTAGTTAAAACGCTAAAAACATCATTTTTATATAGCATAGAAAATCAAAAGAGAACTTACCTTATTCTTTGCAGGATATACTAAACTGATCAACGTGCTGTTCGGTTTTATCATACTGACTTCATCTGACGATCTGATTGGTGAACTAATTGACGGCGGCCTAACCTTCAGCACTATATCACTTTGATGATAAAGGCTTTCTACACCATCTGAGATTATTCTAGCCCCGGCAGTTACATAATCTGAATCTAAGAAATTCGCTTCAACACCAGCACCAGATTCAACAAAAACATTGAAACCACGTTTAATAAAAAGTTGTGCGGTCTGAAAAGCAAGATACAGGCAGTAGAAGGAAGCAAATATAACTAGAAAGTTGTAAGAATTAAATATAATTTATATTCAAATGTTGGTTTGTAGGGACTTGGTTGAGTGGTTACAGGATTTCATCATGAGCTGATATCAGTTAGAGAACCATTAGAAAACCAGCTGGAGTACTAGACAGCCAGCTATTTCGTCCTGGTGACAGATTGTTCGTCAGCACGCACCTATAGTCAGGGCTTGAACCCAGAACCTCCCAGTTACAAGGCTAGCGAGCTCGTAGGCCATTAAGCCACTGGAACTCGACTCCTCGTTGGCCAACCTATGAATTCCAACTTCTGCCAATTCACGATATAGTGGGACTGGCAATAAACAGTGTCGCTGTTGATGTGTATTCGTCCTCACATCCGACTTGCTATATCTTGCTGGTCACGACTTGCCACTAGAACCCAGGTAACTACCTACTTGAATAGGACCAGTCGACAGTGAACATCTCACTGATTTGATTAGTAAGAGGATTTTATCAGGAATCTCGGCGAGTGTGTTCAAATGAAGAGTCCCAAACTAGGCTGACGAAACAGCTGGCTGTCCAGTACTCCCTATGGATGGTTTTCCAATGGGTCAGCCATAATGAAATCCTATAATTTATATTTCATATCACTAGACATTATTCTCAGTTGATTACTATTAGAAAAAATTAGCCAACATTTTGTCAATTTTATGTTTCTAATATAAAAGTTCACTAATTCAATAGGTCAGAAATAACGATTGTTATATATCTTGGCGTAAAATGAAATCAAAGTTATCGACATTATAGACACGGAATACAGTAGATTAACCCACTTTCAAGCCACATCATGCAGTAACATAACTGTAAACAATGTGAATCAATTAAGAATTTCGTAATGGATATGAGGTAAACTAAATTTTCAATGTAGAACTTCGTACACTCCTAATTTTCACAAAAGCAGAAAGGCAAACCAGTATTAATCCATGATCAAACTCCAGAGCAGTCAAATCCCTCCTTACAAACCAACATTTGAAGATTAATCTCATGCTCACATTAGTGTCTGGAGATCTAGTGAGAAGTAGTAGAAACCAGTGAGGTCGGTCAGGTTGTGTCGGAAGATAAATACTCTCCGATGACACTGGCCAGCAGCAATGGCGCCATTGAATTCCTTCCCATTTGCTAGATAGTACATGAGTTCACTTTGTAAACTAAAGGTTGTAGGTTCAATCTGTGGTAGTGAGGTCATAGCTGCGTACTGCTGAGGAGTTTCAAACTAGAAAGAAACAGCTGTCCAATAGTTTCTAGTTTCCAACCGTTGTCAAACTAATATCAGTCCATGATGGAGACTTGAAACCAATGAAATCCCTACAAAGTGAACCTTGGTGACTGAAATAAACGGAAATGTACGGTAGAAAGAATAATAACGTGGAGAATAATGACAATTTAATAGATCTAGCAGGTACTAACGAGTGAATGTTATTATTATTGTTTCCTTTAGTTCCTAGAGGAACATACGGCTTCAGCCAAGCACGTCTCCATTGCCTTCGGTTGTCTGACAAAGTTTCACCTGCCTCCACGTCTGCCCACATGGTTTCAACTCCTATTCACATCACCTCCTCTTCAATATCACCTCCACCCTTGCGCTGACGACAAACTCGCCGCTCCCCATTCGTCCGGGTTCCACTCGAGTGATGGCCTGGCGTGTGACATAACTTGATGGTTTTCTCAGAGTATGGTCAGTCCACCACCATTTCTTTCTGCAGATTTTTTGTACAATTGGTTCCTGGTTGGTTCACTCTAACGAGTCGATGCATCTGCGCTATTGAGAACTATTCAATAGCATAAGTGATTGTTTGGCATGCGTCGACTGAGCACAAATAAAAACATGCTTAACACATGACTTTTATATGTTCAGCTATCAACTTTAACATTCACCAATAGACTCCACAGATTATCCTACTAAGAAGTTTCTATTTCTCGCAATAATAACTAATTGCCACGAAGTTTAATTAGCTGGAATAAATTTTCCATCTCCCAGGCTAAAAGTCACACTTATCATCAGAAGGCTGATGCTGATGATAATACTCAGTTGACCAGGCTAAAGTAGATGAAGCGGGACTCGGGTCTATGAATAAGTGACTAAATACCGAGTGCTTTACCTAATGAGTTACGTCCCATTACACACGTATATAATGATGATATCTCCTTGACTGACTGAATTTGAACATAGAACGTAGCACAAGAGTGCAGTATTTGCACCAGTTCCCACACTCCTTATATCATATAAAGATAGAGGAAATACACAAAACGAAATTCGGAAGGACCTTAATGTGCGGAAATGTGAGAGAGAAAGAATAATAACATGGAAAAACACGAGGATTTAATGGATCTGGGAGGTTACAAGCAGTGAATGCACCTGTGCTGTTGAGAACGATTTTCAGACATATTACCAAACGTCTTCAACCATTGGTTGGCCACTGACCAGACCAATACCTGCTGCCCTGAAGTGATGGTTGAGTTTGCATATCAAAAAGAACAAACAAGCTACACTGACTAGAATTAATGTTCCTACCACTTCAGGATGATCGTTTGGATAACGGTTATACCAAAAGCAATTACCATCAATAATATAAGCTGTTTACACTTTGTTTGGGAGGGTGGGTTTGGGTGAAGTCGTACTACTGACGAATAGGGATGTAACGACGGTGGAGTGTTTCCCTCAGGAGATCAGCGAACTATCTGTGCCCCATCTTGTCTGTGTGAGTCGGCGTTAAAAAGAATCGATCACAATAGTCATACATCTCCACTTACTCTGCAGCTATCCGAAAACGATGATAAAGCTTTAATGTAGACAAATATCAAAAACCCATTTCAGATGGGCGATTTTTGACCCATATGAAGCAGTTAGCTCCAGAGCTCTGTGGTTATGTAACACTAATGCAGCTTTTCTCTGACATCCTCTTAAATTATTTGTGAATTTTAGGCCAATAAAAATACCTTAACAGCTGATCTAAATCCAGCAACAATGATAGGAAAACGCCGACTCTGGCGTAGACGAGATGTTCGACTATCGACCAAAGGGCGGGTGTACTGCTCATCAGTCCGCTCCGTCCTCCTTTATGGTTGTGAGACCTGGCCACTCGGAGTGGAAGACATGAAAAGACTAGCTGTCTTTGATCATAGGTGCCTGCGTTCTATTTCCCGTGTAAAGTGGCATAATAAGGTGAGCAACATGGAGGTTAGGCCTAGAGTTCTAGGTAAACAGGGGAAATCAATCGACGAAGTCGTGAAGCTACATCGACTGAGATGGTTAGGACATGTGTTACGTATGCCAAGCCATCGCCTCCCTCGACGAGCTATGTTAGCGGATATAGGGTCAGGCTGGAAAAAAGCTAGCGGCGGTCAAACAAAAACTTGGCACCTGTCAATGAAATCCACAACAGTTGGTCTAAGCCACGTAGGAAGGTGTAGACTTCCAGGCTGGGGTCCTCGGGACGGTAAAAATCTATGGTTGGAAACAATTGGTGACATGGCTCAAAACCGTTCTCAGTGGCGCAGATGCATCCACTCCCTGTGACTTATGATCTTCAATGAAACTGTTTTGTTTTTCTTTATTACTCTTTTGTCTCACACCTCTGCTCACTGTTTCTATTATGCTTTTCTTGTACTTTCTTCTCTTGCTTCGCGTGCTACACGGAATGTGGCGACTTGAACTTCCGCACATTTGTGCAAAGTTCTATGTCAAAAACAGACAGACAGATAGGAAAAGACTTTCTATAGTCTTTATATTTAAAATATCCAAATACTTATTTTAGGTGTTATTTATTTATCTGAAAAGTCTAGCGAGATAAAAGACAATTCAGGTAAGAAGATCTTCTTTACTGACGAAACCATCTTCAAAGACTGCACAGTCGCATTTACATTTACCAAATATATATATATTAGTCCATTAAAGAGTAATAAAAGTGTCATGATAGTATGAATATACTTCAAGATATATTGAGGGAAACATGAAAGTAAACCAAAAATCCGAAAGAATCCAGACGGTGCCAAAGAAACTGCTATTCATGAACGTTCAATTTAAAGGTGGTACCACAATTGACATTCTAAAGAACCGCTTATCCAGATCACTGAAAAGAGCCTACTTTTCGACTGAGCTACAGAACAATTTCTGCAGCTGACATATGACCAATGGATGTGAAAATGATAAACTGCTGCCTTGGGCCATTTCAATGCGTGCTTACAAATTCACCTGCTCGTGTGTAGCTAGTTATACTGGCCACATAAAGCACACACTTTCCAGAGGCATCCCTGAAGATTATCTAGAATAATTGGTTAGCAAAAGGAAAACTCAAGACTGTTATTAGCTCAGTTCTCGAGCAATTGGTGAACTCTGGCTATGGAGCTGCACCACAGTCGTCTTTAAAGAATGTCTACAAAGTGACACCAAGTGGTACAAGGAGCGTTAGGTTTGAGCATTTGTGTATGCCGCAGGCGTTTGCAATTCTTCGATACAACTCCGAACTGTGTATAGGGAAAAAGTTTGTCCAATATCTTATTCTACCGTGGTTTTAACTTCATTAGTCATTCCTTGTAATTTTTAATTTTAATGATTAGTTTACTTCTACTTTATTGATTAATTCACTGTTATCACTCTCACATGTTCCTTTTGTACATTTTCTCATCCTCTTCACACTTGTTAGATGGACACTGAACGAACCTTCTTCTCGTCAGCAAGGCGTGTCTGCAACCTTGAAGGTTGTAGATAGAATTCAGTCTGCATCAAAGAGAGGACTTGACACATTACACTAGTTACTAGTGTCAAATCAATATATATATATATATAGTGTTAATGATAATACTTTACTCTTTTAGCGTTATCTATGAGCTTCGATAGCAGCATACATTTTAGAAAAATTGATGGGGAAATGTGCTATTTCTGCATCAATATATGTCGTCGACAAAAGTATAATTTTCAAAACAACTTATACAATATTCTTGAGAATATTAGTCCTGCATCCTGTTCCTTAAATACAACAAAATAAAGATTTTATACGGATCATTCGAAGAGCGGCACAAAAAACAATATTAACAGAGGATAACTATTATTACTAAGTGTCATACAAGTTATTGAGAAATATGTAGTTCAGTGTAGAACTATTATGCTTGCGAAAATTCAGAATGATTTTCACGTAATAAATGAGAAAAATCGGGTAACTCGAAATTCTTCCAACCTGAAAATGTAAGATGCCTTAGGAACTTTAGCATCATGGATGGTTAGTGTCAAAAGATACCTGTTAAGGGAGTATGGGATACTTGGGTGAAATTGACAAAAATAGAAAATATGATAAGTGGTTTTGAATTTCTCTCATTTGCATGGGGTAAGGTTACACATGTTGGGGGCCTCTTCAATCATTCCTATTCAAATCTGACTACTCAATGGGAAGATCAAACTATAGCAGACAAGTACTTAGAGTTACACGTGTCGTAATCAAATCAATTTATGTCTTCTGTGCTGAAATTGCCCACAGAATCACAGAAAGATCTATTGATTTATTAGTCTGCAGGTATTGGACTAATTATAGCGACTGAAACATGTATACGCCGGGAAAACTTGACAGGGAAAATGGTTTTTCAAAGAATTGGAATTTCACAGTTTCCCACGAACATCTGAGTGGTTGGCCCACTAATGCAAGTGGCTAAGTAACATCAAACGTACCCACAAAGTAGAAGTACCTAACTGCCAGTTATACGAAATGCAAATGGTTGTGAGTCAACAACTCCATTTCTTTTCTCTAATTCGATAAGTGTTTACAAATATTTAAAAAGATGGCAAAGTGTTGGAAAAATTTCATATTTAATAGTTACATAGTTCGCTTACTTGTGGCGTAACTGCAACTCGTCTTTCGTCAGTGAATGACTCTTTGGGTACGCCAATACGTAACTCAGTGAACGCGGTACCTAACTGTGTTGAGTGATTCGTTGTGCTGAGACAGCGATGCTTCCAAATAACTAGTTTCGCATTGAATATTTGGTGACTCTTATTTACAACATGCGCCCGACAAGCGAACGCAATAGGGGCCATTTACATATGACGAAAAACTATACGGAAACCATATTCGCGCTAAGTATTTAATGTTCAATTCAACACAATAAATAATAACCAATGAAAATCCCTTCACGCTTTTATGTTCATATCTTTGTGTCAAGAACTGACTCCAAGTCATCATTAAGTTAGTTGATGGTAATTCCAGTCACAGGACTGAAATGTTCTCAGCAAGCCCGGAAATACTCCCACTGAGTTGAAATTAGAGAGAAGTGTATGGTTACAATATCCAATGTCTTCATGATAAGCCTGTATATCACTTACGACTTCTTGACCCTCTGTTCTTGCTCTTCGGGATAGATCCTAGATTTTTGGGTGATTTCACTTTGGTCTATCTCCTTAACTTCTGCAGAGTTACTGGGCATATTCGGAAAGCTTACAATGGTTTATTTCGGGATGCATAATTCGTGCGAGGCAGTGAAATCGCTCAAAATTGCAAATTTCGTTTCGCCAGGTTACCATATGGTTGTGTCAGCAGACACTCCAGAGAAATCATTAGTATTAGAGTGGGAATCCAGAGAGTAGATTAAACAAATGGGATTTTGGTAGGAGGAGAGATAGTGAGACAAGTAATATAGCAAGAGTGCATGCACATATAGCAAGCACAAATTTGAGGAATAAAATCAGGCTGGGATGAGTGGAAAGAATGGTGTAATGGTAAATAATTCCCCAGAATTATTGGCCACAGCATTCAGCACTGAACATTGGATGCTGACCCGCACTGTTTAAGTCAACTTGTTCAGCTGAAGGCTTCCTGTCAAGTACCTACGCCATTTGATACTCCGTCGCGTCACGTTCATCCTTTCGTGCACGACCCCCATCTAGCTAATAAATCATCTCGCACTCCTATTTGGTGCCGAAATATGTCTCGTAATTTGGAGGATCAATTCTTGCGTCTACGCAGAACGAATATTATAGAAGCTGTGGGTATTAGATCTTGCGTTAGTACACTTCGTACTATCCGTGAACGTCAATACCGTCAGCCTCTCAAATAGTAAGTATTATGGTAAAGTACTGAAATAAATATAGGCATGTCAGGGGAACATTTATAGCATTTATAAGCAGTGTATCAGTAAATGAATTCAGAAAATACCAATGTGTTATGGGGACTAGCAATAGCAATCGATGAGGAGAACCTTGAGAAGAATGTTACAACACTGCGCAGAATCCAACAAGCTGTCGAATATGGTGATATTATGCAAATTTGCAAATGATGTGCAAATAATGCATGGAAGATAAGGTATGACAAATTTATGTTCATGCTATGCGTATATCATACCAAACATCACCTTCGAGCCTCAACGGTGTTTTCTTCCTTACAGTACCACTACTTTTCCTTAAAAACAGAATATTTCCCTGGTATTTGTACTTCAACCTGTTGTTTTCGGTGACAGTACAGCCTTCTCTTGAGTTCATAAACTACAGGAAGATGTGGGTGGCAAGTGCCACAATTTAGACCTTACTCATTTTGATGAGAAGATATGTTAGGGTTACCTAGACAGATCTTATCATGCCTTTCTTGCAATCTATCTCTAGTGGATTGCATTGATCTACGCATTATTCTGCCTACCATGATGATATCACACCTTGTTCCACGGTAACTGAAAGCATAAACATGAATTTTTCGTTTTTGTTCATCATACGCTCGACTGTCAAGTCTAATGAGATCTGGCAACCTGCCACTGCACTCTTTTCGGGAGGTTCGCATCTCTTTGAAGGGGTGGTGGTACAGTGACATTGTTAAGTTCTAAATGTGATCACATGTATACTTTGAACAGTTGCACAGAAATTATGGTTGTAATTGCTTTCAGCTGCCCGCGCATGATGTAGGTTGCTCTAGTGACCTTGGCTGTGTCTCCTGCTAGATGGGAACTTGCATCCGATTTTTCTTTCCAGAGAAGACCTGGATTATCCTCTATCTGCGTGTGACAGAGTTCATTTGTGTGAAGACGGCAGGGGAGCCGCTTCCCTTCTAGTGTGCAGGTGAAAATTATCCGTCATTATTGAGTATTTACAGCTTATGCATTTCCTGTCACCGGTTTCTCCAGGACATTCAGGTATTCCTGCATCTCAACCTTCCGCAAATTCACCTACTATGCCATCAATCCTACAGTCGCCTTTCCTCCGTTCCGGAAGATTTAGGATGTCAGTGACTTACCAGTTCCCATTTTTGAGGCTTTACTGAGTAGAACTTAGTTAGATACTAGAAGGCCCTAGAAAACATGAGGAGCAGGTTGTGGGCAGAAATAAATAAATAAATTTATTCTCATGATATAGTACATGAGGGACGCCAGTTTACAGGCATCATCAAATTGTTACAGAAATAGGACCATATTATTCAGTCACAATTTACAATCGATAGCAAAATATGTTTAACATGTACACTGGAGATTATACATACACTTGATAAATGTTCATCTTTTCACTTATGTACAATCATTTCTGTGCATAGTTGGAAAAATCCGCTAGATTGTCAGTGAGTGCAACACATCAGGAAATACAGAAGTATTGTCTTCGCATTAACAAAAAAACCAGGTCTTTGGTGGATGGGTTATAAGTGCCTGGGAAAAAAATAAAGCTTGAAGTCAATTTTCGTACATACTTTGTTGTGTGCAGAATCCTTGAATTATAGTTCATTGATGTGTTATTTTGAAATCAGTGATATGTTTATCTCATTTGATCTGCAATGTCATTGTTGGGAGTAAAATACATAAGCTTTAGACGCATTAATTAATGGATTTCTACTGCTTGTGGGTATTTACTTCTCGTGAGGAAGGTTTTTGAATTTTAGTTGTTCCGACAGGAGTTGTGGATATTGACTGCTCAGCAACATTATGGATATAAGTTCATCACATTATCTCAGGAATGTTGGGTTGTAGTTGGTGATGCATATATGATGTCCGACGAGCGTACATCTGTCCATGTGATGTTGTGGTGAGTTATACCTTTTTCATGTTGTCGGTTTATGTCCATTTTATTCCACTTATTGTGTTGGGTAGAAGTTTTACAAACGAAACTTCTTGTCTGTTTGAGGGTAAGTATCTTAATCGTTAATGTTTTATCTAAAATTATAAATATAGGCAAAAACAACAGGTGTAGTATTTAAGCTTATACATTAAATGGACCTATAATTTCGGAGGCTCTCAGATAGGAACTAGGACTACTGTCGTTTGCAAACTCTTGTAGTTTGTCGTTAAGCACTTTTTTGAATGAGGCCAATGTACCTGCTTGACGCATTTCCATTGGTAGTTTATTCCATATCTGTGCATACCTAATCAAATAAAACTTTTGCCTGGTAGCTGTTTTACATTGTTCGATAGCTACTGTACCCTTAGTGTGTCTTAGTTTGTAGCCACTGTCATCTGAAAGTCGAATGCCATTAGTAGAGGTAAAAACTAAGTGGTTTAGAAGCTTATAGTAAAGTGTTAAGTTTAGTCTCAGGCGTCTTAGCCATAGTGTTTCTAATCCTAGGGTGTCACATCTAGTGGAGTAGTTCGCACCATTTTCGGTTCCGAGTAATTTTGACGTGAAGTACCTCTGCACTCCCTCGACTTTCAATTTGTCCTCTATGCGTATACTACTATACATGAATGAACAGTAATCAAATAAAGGACGCACACAAACCTTGTACAACAGAATTCTGGACTCATTTCTGTAAAAGTTCCTGAGTAGAAAGCCGATAAGTCTGCGTGACTTTGACACTTGTTTGGAGATATGTTCAGAAAATGATAAGTCATGTGAGTATTTCAGTCCTAGGTCCAATACAGATTCCAGTCGTAAGAGTGCATGGCCTTGAATTGTCAGGTCAAGTTCTAAATTGTTGCAACCTATGCAGAGCCAGCCACATTTGTCGACATTAAACTGGAGTTGCCAGGTGTCACACCATCTATCCATTTTTTCTAATTCTTGCTGTATGGCGTTTACTGTTATTCCGAGATCTGTGTTCTTGCATTTATAGGTCACTTTTAAGTCATCTGCATATAGTATTGGTTTACCAACACTAAAGCATTCACAGATACTGTTTATATATATTATGAATAGGAGGGTGGTGCTAGCTGATCAGTAGATATGGTGGTGGTCACTAAGGTGAATCGCCCCATTCTGAAGGAACAGCAATACGCAATTTGAAGGCTCGAGACATTTCTGATTTTTATGAGGGCTTAGATCTTTATCTTCAAAAAGATAATAATGAACGCCTTGACAGATCATGCTTCTACCTTCAAATATATACCATTCGCCCAGCCTATTGTTGAGATGCGATCATGTGGGATCTGCACAGATTTATGGGGCATCTTATAAATTAACTTGCTATCCATCGTCAGATCTTTACATACCACTTCAAAATGTCTTATCTCATTCATTTTCCAATAACGTCTTTACTTGATCCTCATTATATCCCATTAAACCTAACATTTTACAGCTCTTTATTACTTATTATATTCCTACTCTCTGAAGGGTACGGTTGTGCACTAAATGCACAAATAGGTATAAAACAAAAACAACTGGCACAACTGAGGATAAATGTATTGAAACCAAAAGTGGACATCATGATAGTACGAGATATACGTGTAGCATTATACATTGCAAATGAACGTTGTCAGCCTAGGGAGTTTTCTTTATTGATGCATTTATTAATGATACTTGCACTTACCTATTTCATTACACTTTATTGATTCACCTTAGCACTTTTAATTTTCTAAAACAGCTTTCAATCCCTTGTAAAAGTTGTACTTACCTCAATATTGGTCGGTTATCGAATGCCGACAACCGCGGGATGAAAACGAAACGAAGTCGATTTTCCCGCTCAACCTGGAGGACAATTGTACAACTCAAAATCTATACGGCCTAGCTCAGACAATGAATGTATATACATATATATCAAATATTTAACAGTTGAAATATGATTAACTTGTAGACAATCTGAGATTTGAGACTATATCTTACTTAATCGTGCCTGTAAATATGGCATGCATTTTCAT